AGAAGAGTGAACGTTTGCCACGTATAGACAGCATTCTGGCGGGGGCGAGGGCGGTTGGCCAGAGAGTAGAACTGTACATCGGTAATATGGTCAACTGCTAACTTTGGTGTTTGAACAGGTTAGGAAGACTTTAATACCAGGAGTTATCTAATTATATAGGATATTTAGGCAGGTGGTTGAGAAACTACCTCCATAAGATGATTACTATTTTTTACTAGTTATTGATTGCAACAAGTGGCTTCTACTCGCATTGATGATACGAGTGAAAAGATATGTAGAGGCTTAAGGCCTCTCAATTTGATTGTTGGAAAGTGATAGTAGTCATTTGTTACTTAATTTCGCTGCTTAATTAATAGAACCTACCTGAAGAATGAGGAAGAAATAAATATGATGCACCCCGTTACATTAATTTTGTCATGATGAGAGCTATTGCGACATAATTCAGCTCCAGCAGGGAGGTGCATTAAAATACCACCTCCGTGGTCAGCTCTCCTCCAATCTTTATATCGAAGTGTCTGTTTTTATTGGTACCCATTAACTTGATAGGAAACTGAGACATCGTCAGCCCAACCGTTGTCGGGATTGAGCAACTAGCCGACAAGGCCATATACTTGCTACTCTACTTTATCGGGATACCACGTAAGCATAGTGTATACCCTCCTATACCAGAGCCAATCTAACAATTCTTCTGTTTCATATTCGTAGACTTGCTGTATAGCTACCTTATGTAATTACCTTAGGTAGGTCGGCATGCATCTTTATCCAGATCGTGGTGTGCTACCTGCATCGTGGATAGCGATAGAGGTCTTCTGGCAATCGGGTTTCCGTCCAATGTCATAGGCTGCTTGATGTCACGCCTGGTAGCGATGATAACGTTTATTGGTTTTCGGTAGAGTTTTCCCTCAAGTTTGGGATCGGTAGTCGCGGTAATGAGTATCTCCTTGAAAATTACTCGGAGCGAGGGGCATCGAATATTCGAACAGTAACTATATCGTATTTGAATATCGTTGGAACTAAGTATACGCGTCTTTTATTAGTCAAAGAGATAATACCAAGAATAGAGACAGAAACAGATACTTTCGAAATCATATACCAGAGCCACGATGACTTTGCTTTTCAATCTTGCTTCCTTGGCCGGCATGTCTCCAAAAGGGGAACCCTATCCTATATTATCCCATAGACTTTCTCAACAATATCTAGTCGAATTCGGGCCAGATAGTATCTGTGTTACATAGTCCTATAAATCATAAGAACCAGAAAGGTCAAGGCTAAATAGAGAGCCACAGGATCCCGATTCTGGTGTTGCATAAAATTGAAGAGTGTTAAATTGTGTCCCTCAAGATCTGTATGATTTTCCTAAGTCCACATGGCAAGGTAAAAAAGACAATACCATGATTCATACGAAGGAATAACTAAAGATGGCTACGAGCTATCAGTAATCATCAACGGTTTGAAGAGTACAGGAGTTGACAATATGTCAAAATAATAAGGGAAAATATGAAAAATTAGAGAAGATAATTTGTAAGTAATTAGGTACAAGGCTCTAGCCCTAGTCTAATGATAAGGCAGTGGTTTGATGTTAGTAATTACGCGCTGTACATACATAATATTGCCTTGTCCTAGTACAATAAAGCCCAATATTTCAATATTTCCGGCATATGTGGAGAAAAGGGGTAGTAGAACGAGGGAAAAGGGTTACCCCCAATAGCCTACGATAATCAACTACAAAATAGTCAATTCCATCTTCGAACATTTCCTTCGGTTTGGGATGTATTTAATTATACGAAAGGTCACGATGAATGTATCTAAATATATACTCACAGCCTACATAGGTATGTACGCGCCAGCCGTAAAACCAACCAGCAGGTGTCCATTGAACATGCCTAGCGCGGTATATGCTCTGTAGCGGATGTATACGCAAACATTCATCCCAGTCCTAAAACTCCTGGCTTTAATTTCAATAATTATATAGCCAACTCTATAGTATCCTAGTCGAAGGACTAGTATAAAACACGTATTTAGTATCGTATTTGTTACCAAGTAGTCTTTTCTTGTTATCGGATTTTCCAATATCTCGAACTTGATAATAAAGTATATGTGCTCTTAAGTCAAGAGGCTTGGGAATCAGTGATTGTGCGCCTACCTCCTAAGGTACCTACCTAAGTAACAAGCCCCCTATTAGATAGCCAACGAAAGGCCCCTAAGGAAAATATTGCCAAGGCTTTCTACAGAAAGTGAAAAAAAAAAAATATTGGTTGTCCAGGAATACCACCCGGCAGTCACTATACTCCTATCCAGGGGTAGGGCTGATGATACCCAGGTCCTGTTCCATCAGGCCAGCTACACAGCCTAACAATCAGAAAAGCAGACTTCTCCAGCCTCACGAAATTTTCACAATAAGAGGGGTTTTTTTTTTAAAACCAAAAACACGTTGTTAAAATAATTATCTCAAGGGAATATTGACATAATTATTTATCAAATCGTTATTTACGTATCATCCTATATTTATTCCTTTATTCCTTTATTTACTTACTCCCAACCCCAATCCAAACACGATAATAAACGGGGGCACCGAAAAAGAAAATTGCTGTGCCAGGCCATTTACGAGACCTCAACGACCCGCCAGGACAACATACATAACAACACAAAACAATGTTTACCTACCTAGGGTAGTCACATTCGGAGCCCTCAACTCACCGCAACTTGGGAAATAAGCAGGTGGCGCACAATATAGGCCAAACTCCCCAACCCCCTTTATCGAGTTTGCTCGGAGAAGCCGATAATGATCGAATCGACGGGTCCGTTAGAGCTTAGAATGTAACCGTAAGGTGAAGAATACGAAGGTCTTTAAAAATAGGGACGGGGAGAGATAAAGACAGCTGTCTAGGTGCCTAAGCGACGTGCCATGATAGGGTCATAGCCGCTCTGCCCTTGGGCCTCAAAGGTGATTACTCAGGGCCATTTTACCTTACACTACACGCCTACCTGGTAAGTACCTACCTAACCCAAACGTATTGTGCTTTACGAGTTTAATTTTCAGGTATTAATGATGCGAGAGAGAAACAAAAACAGGACTCTATCCATGCCTGCAAAGCCATGGACCTAGCTGATATTGAACCACTGATATAGCCAAAAGCTCTTTGTCCTAGATATTTCAGTAACCCAAAGGATCGATATATACTACCCTAGATATGCTCAGCTATACCAATATTAACGGCAGTTCAAATCAATATTAAGCAGCCCTAAATCCCCCACTACGACCTATTTATTCAATGATTGAAAAATGCCTCGTAGCAATATCTAGTTCTACGTCGTCGTATATCGACCTCGCTCGACTCTTAACACGCAAGCTAATGTCCTAGACGTGTGGCCGTACGTATCAAACACTTGCCATACCTAATCCTCGGTGTCTAGCTTCGTATCTGTAATGTAGTGGTACCCGAGACGCGTAGAGCTGTATTCTTCAGGGTCCTAAAAATATCGATAGAAAAATCGGCGTAACTATTTCTCTCATTCTCACAGATACCCAGGAGGTAGGTATTCAAGTGAGAACTAAAACGTAGTTCGGCAAGGTCGTTCACTACGCACGTAGAACCATGGAGTTCGTTTATGTAACTCCGTGCATCAGAGAAACCCTCGGGGGTTAACTAACACACAAGGCAGTCCACCGGCGGCCTCGGTACAACGGCTGAGTCGAGTACATACAAGTATCACCTTCTCGTATACTGTGTCCATTATCTATCCGGATGATTCATTCGATCACCGAATTACATCCATACGTAGCAGCAATAGAAAAAATAGACCGAAGTATGTAGATAGATGTCTCATATGCAATTTATAGATAGATCTAGGCAGAGAGGATGCAGGGGAAGACCTGCCCTGGCTACATATATGCAGTGAGCAAATCTAGCTCAACCTTACTCTGTTAGTTCTCCTTGTAACGCACAGCTACTGCAAGTACACGCGTGTGCATGCAGCCCCCGCCAAAAGGTCTCATATCCAGGACTTATTGTCAAGAAGGGATACCTAGGTAGGTATCAAGGATAAGGGACCTCGGCGTGCTGGAAAGTCTGCCTAGCTGACCTATTGATCGAAGGAACTACGGCATCTGTCTACCGTAGCATAAAACGTAACCCTACCTGCCGCCAAAGCGGCAGCCCTACCATCCATCCATGTCCAACATTTCCAAATAAGTAACGTCCGAGGTAGAAAGTCAGACCAAGTACAGACCAACTGAGTCCTTAGCAACGAATTGCAACATCCGGGTCTTCCGCATACAATACCCTACACCCATTCATTCTATCCATAGACAACTCAGTAAAGGAGGAAAGAGAAAAACCAAAGATGAAAAAGGAACCAAACCAAACGTCTAAAGTACGTAACTATCTAGTCCTGCGCCACAAGATCTCCTAATGAACATGATATGATATCCATACAGCCACCAATAAACGCCTTGACCGGGGTAGTACCCTGGTCGGTTCAAAGCAAGTGGAAAACGAAGTAAATCAACAAGCATAGCCTCATCACTCATCTCAGCATAACTCAGAGGAAATAATGAAACAAGTAAAACGGAGTAACCAAAACACCATACTGCCTCATCTATCATGTAGTCCTGGTATGCAATAATCCGCAGCCGAGCCAATGGACTAATGTAAAGCATACCGCCTTCTATGTAATTTATGTTCAGCCCTACGCCATCCATCGTCGTATATCGGAAGGAGAAGTGCCACTAAATGCGGCAGTGTGCAGCAGATCAATCTGGGGTAAGAAAAGGGAATGGTAGAAATTAAAAGGGAAAAGGCGTGCGGGAATTTCGGTCACCATCGTTTCTAAATTTTGCTTAGATGCGAGGTACGAAAGGAATAGCCAGGGGGGTAGACTCGTCGCTAAACCGTGCCGAATTAATATCAAGCGTCGGTGGTTGTAATAAGCTAAGTCTCATGCACCTAAGATGCTGAAGCTGGGAGTCGTGTTGTCGCGCAGCTACATAATGTGGCTGCTTACTTGTAGCCCCTCAGCTTGCGTCTTTCGGGTTCGCAAGTCGTTTTGCATTTAGCGCACTCGAAACCCTTGCTATCAATGGGGATGCGGCTGAGGCACCTAGCACAGCGCCACCACTTGATGTCAAAATTGCGACTCTTCCACCATTCGCTGTTCTCCTTGTTAGAGTTGCGTCGCAATAAGTCTTCATTGTGGTAGTCACGGTAATGCTCTCGGCAGTGATCGAGTCGATAGAATGGATCTTTAGATCTCTGACATTTCTTCCAGTCGCAGGGAAACGGCTTTTTCTGGTTTGCATCGCGATGTCTGTGGAGATAGTGCCGTTGAAGATCTGCTTTCCGTTTAAACGGCGATGCGTTACAATAAGGCTCAAGACAGACGTGGCGGCCCGAAGCATCGCCAGCGGTCGAGGCGCTACTAACGGGAGGCAACCTGGACGAGTCTGTTAGGACCTAAATAACATAGCGTGCTTGTATTCTATAGTGGCACTTACATATCAGAACCAATAGCGGGAAGGGTTTCTGGAAAAGTTTCTGTCGGTGTATAGTTAGACCTCAGTCTCCAGTACGGGCCTTGCCCCGAATTGTCGCTGGCAACGAAGTCGTAGAACTGGTACTGAAAGTCTTGCTGCTCCACTTGGTTGTTCGTATCGTATCCTTGCCCACCCGATACATATGTTCCTCCATCTTGCACATTCAAGAAATCATAGCTGCCTATATTTTCAGAGCCCGGCGACACTGCAATGTCGTATTGTCCGTTGCTGTTTGCCGAGTAGTTACTATATTCGCTCCCATGTGACACGTTTCTAGCCATAGCTGCACTGGTTGGCCAGTAAGACTGGTCACCGTATCCGTAATCAGCGCCAGATGCGTATGTGTTATCCATAACTAAACTAGTAATCTGAGAAATTTCTTGTTGTTTTGTGCACCGTTCTATTATACTGATGTCTTCGTCGAAAAGATGGACATATGCCGCATGGGATGAAGCTGTACTTATACCGATAGGAGGCTATCCCCTCTAAGGGACATGACTCAAATGGCAAGGTAAACTTATTGTTGTTAGGAATCAGTATGCGAAGCAGTCGATAGAATATAGTTGACTGGTGGTTGAAAATATAAAGGTGTGGTAATACAAAACTATCAGTTGCGACCTGTCGTTAAAGATGTTCATTGGGGAGTTGATATAGTCTCTGCTATCAAAGTTGCCAAAATCTTACTCCAACTAATACATGGTGATCATTTATTGGTGCAACAACAGTCAACATGCGTCGGTAGGACAATTAAGGCTCAAACTGCATATTTTTCTAGGTGAGGCGGACGTTGAGTCTAGTTGGGGCTTCGAGATGCGTCAATAGATGCTCGGCTGAGATCTTCAGTTCCTTCTAGGAGGACGCGGTGAGGTAAGTAAGTAAGGTAGTCAACTTCGAGCAATAAACAAGAACGCATGCTCATAGCAGAGAGTAGCATCGTCCTCGAATAGTGCATATCAACATCTCGGAAAACATCCGAGCTACTATATGTTTAGTAGGTTATAGATAAGCCACACCGAGGCCATCGCCCCTCCGCTCGCGGGGATGCAATTAAGCGACGCGCGCGTTGCGAATTAGTCTTCGAGTTATTCCGGGTTACCATGCGAATCTTGTGGAAGGTTGAAGTGAGACATCCTATTTAGGTTCGGTGAGCGTATCCTATAGGTAGCAACTAGCTTGGACCGCGGACTCTGGAAGAGAGGGTGCATAGCATTCTAAGGCAATGCCACCTAGATGTGGACCATTAGCCAAGAAGAGTTCAGCCCAAACACTCGTATGCCACATGAACGCGGTTTACTCCCGTGGGTAAGGCTGACAAGTGCAATAAGGATGTGGAAACATATGTGCAAGTGTAAGCATTCGAGCGAATTAGCGGAAGATCACGAGACGGGATTGGTAGATGGAGCTGAAAGGTAGAGCTTGGTTAGTAACCCATAGCGGCAGACACCCGTAGATTTTCTTGGGGTAAGCAATATTAACGACCAAACGCTGACAGTTGGCCATCAAGGCAATGCTGTGACCCCGGGGATCTATGGACGTCACGAAGGTCGTCTTGAGGGCTTTCGATGAATCCTGTGCGACATTTAGTCGTCGTTGGTGCCTGTAAGACACGTACGACACAGCCACTAGAGGGTAGGACTTCAGCCTCAATAGGGACGAGCTATCGAATAAAACGTGAGCTAAGGACTACAACGCTTCTTTATTTTTTTTAGGCAACCTGTAGTTCGCCCACCGAATGCCTTGCCAACGCAGCGCTTCTGCTTGCCTGCGATTCGCTGCCTGGCTAGCCCCCATCGTCCAAAGATGAGAGAATTGGAATACCACGGCACGGTGCCGTAGTAGTTCGTTGATTGTAGTCCCCGTGCCTCAGACACGCATACAGTAATTGTATATATATGCATGTATGCATATCAGCAAGAAGTGAGGCTTCTGAGGGGGAATCTGCAAGACAGAGGCATGGACATCTTCTCTGCGACTGTGTCCCACTTAATAGAGATCTGAGGTCCATGAGACTCGGTCAAGCGAGCTGACCGAAGTCCACTTTCAGAAGAGCCAATAGGCGAGCAGATAGGTATCAATATCCCTATCCCGATATAACGATGTTGAATTTGGCAAGGCTCAGCTGTGAATTGCGTCTCGCCTTAATGCTTCCCCATCGACATCGGGTTGATTATTTTTTTTCTCTCTCTTTTCTTTCTAATGCGGTGACGCTTTCTTTCCTGCATTCTGCAGGCTAAATCCCACGACACGGTCATTTGCGCAGGGCTTGGCGTCCCTCAGCCCTCAGCACTCAGGTAGTAAACATTGATGCAGGAACCGATAATCAAAGTCCCTCAGCCAGGATTAAGGCAAAGCACCACGCGAGAAGGGAACATTTCGCAGAAACGTAATTCGGTGAAGAGTGTGTCATCGCAGCACTTTAGGAACCAGCTGCGAGAATCAAAAAGAAGGCAACCTTCAAGTACATATAGTCGTGCGCGAGACACGGGTGGAAGCAGTTGGGCAGCCATGCATGTTATGAGTTGGCGAGATTACATTGGTGCTACGACTTTTGAGATTATAGCTTTTCGTTAGGCTTCATTTGAGGAGATAAAGGTTGCCTAATTGTTTTTAAAAAAAAATTTAAATAAAGTTGTAAATTTAAAATAAATGATGTTACAATTGTAATTGAGTAATTGAGAAAGTAAATGCAAAATTTAGAAATAACCTTTTCACTTTTTCACTTACCAAGAGCTTGGCTCCATTCGATCGGCCTATCACCGATATCATAGGGTACCTTCCTTCCGTTTTCTTATGACTCCAAATATCATAACTGCATTTGAAAGCACTAGCTACTGTGTATAACAAGCATAAGGTTACTTTAGATGTGATTGTAAATCTTTTACATACTTAATGTTATGTAATGTGCAACCTTACCTACCATGTGACGTCGACTATATAGAACAATACGTACCTCGGTACCTTACATGATTATATGTAAGTAATACCACCTGCACTCTGCACTCAGCAATGACATCTACATATAACAACATCTCCAATTAAATATATATATACTTACATATTATATTGGAGATGAAGTTGGAGACTGTTGGAGGAGGTAAGGCTTTCAATGCAGTCAGACTACAGCTAGCTAATGGGACAGCTTCTTGGATAGATTGTTCGCCTTATTAGGGATGAAAATGTATATGTCTAAGAGCGAGTATAAGGCTATCAAACCCAATCGAGAAGCATGACAAGATAAATGAATAAATTCATTGGTCACGGACTCATAAGAAGTAGGTGAGACATCTCTATAAGCGATGACTTCTATGTAGTATTGCTACTCCCTACCCCCCCTCTGCTTAGACGCAACACGCTCATTAGATAGGTAGGTAGCCAGCCTTCCCCTAGGCTACGACAGTAACCTCATCCTCATTGAATCCAGCCCAATAATTGTTTGTAGTAGGAGATAAGTAAATATCCCGTCCTTTCGTATGTTCCACCATATCCAAAGATGCCTACTCGAGCGTGACTAGGCAATCTCTGCACGAGCGAGGCTAGAGAATGGACAAAACCAGGGAGGCAAACAATTCGGAAATAGCCTTGTGCGTCCATGCCAGCGTCATGCAAGGTAACGTACTGTAACACACCATATTCAATCATCGATGCGGCTCTGCGACTGCATGTGTTGCCTGGCCGCCGGTTCGCGGCACAACCCAACCCAGCCTGACTGAAGGCCGACAGGAGCTACGAAGTCCACCCCAGTCGAGATTCTCACACCCGCGCTAACAAAGCGGCACGCGTGCATCCCCCGCAACCAGGTAACCGATCAGTAAGCCTGCTGCTTGAAGTGCTCGTAGTAGAGTTTCACGAAGAGCTCATGCTGAGCAGTGCGCTGGGACTCCGAGATATTGTTGCTGCGGGCCGAGGAGGAGGATCCGCCGAACTCCAGCGAGAGCTCTTTGAAATTACTCGCGATGACCTCGTACGCCTTCAAGTTGATAGGCCGCGAGCTGAAATCCGACATGGACAGCAGCCCCGGCGACGTAGCCCCTGTCAACGCAGTCGAGGGACCCGCACTCGTCGTCGGAGCCAGGCCCCCAGGATCCGACACAGACGAAAGGTCGCCCGCGCCATGTCCAGCGCGCATCGATAAGAACGGGTCGATGTTATCCCTCGGCCCAGGCCCAGGCCCTGTCTCGGAATGGAAATCGAAAGGCGGGTCCGCGGGCGCGGGCGGGGGGCAGAGATTGGAATAGTCACCGAGCGCTTGGCCGAAACGAGCTTCGTCGAGGTTGATCGCGTCATGCATGCGCCCGCGGGAGAAGGAAGAGCTTCCCGGCTGATCGAATAGCGAAGCTTGGCGACCCGCCTCGAGTCTCTTGTGTTCGAAACCGCTAGGCTCGCCTGCTACACACCGCTAAGGTTGAGAGAGGAAAGAGTTGATTGATCTTCTTGGTTGAAAGTAGACGGTTTGAAGAGCAAGTTTGACGAACGGTCTGTGTCTGGCATGAAAGAGGAGCCGGCTGGGGATCTTAGCGTACGTATGAATTCACGGAGAGGACCGTCGTCTTCGTTGACGGATTTCCTTTGCATCAGGTTTGATGATGAAGAAGAAAAGTCTTCCTGTTTCGAGTGAATCGACGAACCTTGCGATGCATATCGAGAATAGTCTTCGAGTTGTCCGTGTTCGCTACCAGAAGCAGTTGAGGACTCATTGCTGAAGGGATGAGACTTCTGTGATCCATCGTCGGATACAGACACTGAAGAGACTTAGTTGAACATCTAAGACAAGGCTCCTCTCTCTCGAACATCTTTCCCGTGCTCTTGCACACTCTGTACAAGCCCGTTTTCGATTGAAGGAGTGGCGTTTCTTTGAGCGGCAAGGTGCATGAGTTCGTGGCGAGTTAGAATGTCGCTGAAAATATCAGTGCAAGTTCATCTTAAAAGTCGAAAGGCATAGTGATATACCTCCGAAGAACCGCTTCAAACAGATAGACAACATGGTTTGTGACCGTCGTGGCTGCGTTGATGTCTCTTCAGATGTTCGGGTCGTTTGAAACTGCTAGGACAGCGAGGACATTGATATTTTTCTTGAGCCTCACCCCAGGGGAAGGACTTTTACGCCAATTACTTTCTTCTGTAACACTATCCATTTCCATTTCGATATGTATAGACATACGATAGATTCTAGCCTAGCTTTCGAGCTCATGATGCTTTCCCCGACGTATTATAAGCCATAGCAAGCGTCTATGTATGCGACTTACAATATCAAGATTGGACCAATCTAATGTAACGCACGGGCTAGAAACGGGCATGGGTTTCTAGAAGCATTCTAATTCGGTACAAAATCTTTTGACGATCGTGGAGGGACAAGCTAGTAAGTTGGTGGTGCGCTTAGAGCGAGGGCTCGTCGGAACATCTTACCGATTGATTAAAATCAGTGAGGAGACGAGGACGTCATTGGTCAAAGCATGCGAGGAAACAAGGCTTGACCGGCTCACCTTGAAGCACGTTAGAGGGATATCCATGCTGCTGACTGAAGGGGCTCGGGTTAAGATTGCGAATGAGGACCGATACAAAAACCGAAATGATTGGCTCAAGTTAAGGCTATACTATTTACCTATACACTCTCTCGCGGAGCACTTCCGTTAGCATGCGAAAGAGTAGTCGGAATGAGTATTTGCATTGATGGGAGAATGATGGTTAAAACCAACTTGTTATTAGAAGCCGTCTGCAAATTTATTATTTCTTTTTTTTCTGCTGACAATATTTGTAAGATATTATTACACCCTTGTTTTTTATTATTCATTTTCCTAGCCCCTCCTCTTTTTCAATAACTCTCATATGTATGTAGAAGAAATGAAGAAGAAAAAAAAATAACTCAATAGAGGCAACCCCTGAGCTACCTATAGCTACCTAACCTAGCTACCTCTTACATTACATAGCTTGAATATACTATATCACAAAAGACTATCCCATCATCAGCTAGCTGCTAGCTACTAACCTAGCTGCTAGCATAACTAGACAAGTATGATTAAAGCTGAGATAATCAAGTCACATCCGGATTTCAGTTTCAACTAAATCTAGCGTACCATGGCTGGCACCCATACTAGGTAACGATAAGGCTCCGAACCTGCAGCTTGCCCGATGGGGTATGCAAGGGGTAAGATATGACGATAGCGCCGAGCGACGAGCGTGCCTATTCCAACGTCTTTTCTACTAGCAAATCCCACGCTCAACTGGGTAGTAGCGGAAGGACGATGTTACCGCGACACGGGTGTCTCGGGTTCTTCATCGTCTTAGCAGCCCCTCTAGCAGCCCTCCCCCCTAGCAACAGCCCCTTAGCAGCCCAACTCTCATGTGACCCCTGCCACCACGGTTCGCACGGAGATAGTAGGGGATGAAGGTAAGTTCCTTCTCCTCAGCCACCACCGTCTGACGGAGGGATGAGCCGGGTTCGATGCCGGACTTCGACTCGGTCCGATCATCTATCTTGCGGATCCAACCGACCGATCGGAGGGCAATGTAGTGTTCCCCCATTTGGTTCATCTCCTCTTCCTTCTCGGTGACTTCAGAGTCGGATTTAATCCCGACGTTGCGGAAGTGGTCCTGCTCCCATGCATTGTCAACGTCCTCCACGCAGTAGATTAGCGGTCCACGAGCGAGGGTAAGCGTGTTCTGATTGGTATAGGGGTTGGAGAGATGAATCGGGGCTTGAACCCGTCGATCTGGATCGAGAAGGCCCTATTCGCCGATGTATAAGCGGACGGGAGAACCAGGTAACCCTTCTCGACATCTGCAGCTTTATGGCTCGGCGTGAGCTGTCCAGACATTAGCGATATTGCCTCACGGGCCTCTTTAATCAGGGGCAAACCGGGCACTTACCGTGAAATTCCCTCGCGCCCAGGAAGGAATTCTTAACCTGATAGTCACGCCCGTAGACGCCGGTGCCTGCAGCTGGAATAGCGTATTCCCCTCCCACGGCCAATTCGACTTTTGTTCGAGTACGATCTGTTGGTCTTCTACTTGGAAACGTAACCTTGGCCGTTGTATATAGATGTACGTTGACGTAGGCATCCTTTCCGCTGCCTCCGTAATCCCATAGATATCCCCCGAGGCAGCCAAAAAGCCGCATAACATTCGGTGGGCAACATGATGTATCAAACCAATCTTCTCGGCGGCTTTTATCAGATTCCGAGCTCGCAAGCTGATTTACGTATGTGAATGCGGTCCCCTCTAGACTTAGCCCTGTCATCACTGCATTGTAGAGGCATAACTCCATTATGTCGGCGTATTTCGAGTTCAAATCAAGATGTAATAAGCGCTCAGCCAACATTATGACGGCGATAGACGCACAAGTCTCGTTATAGCACCCACCTTCATCGGAACCTTGGGGCAGAAAGTAATCGATACCAAAGCCTTCCCATTGCCACATCGACCCGATCCCCCCGTGAGGTACATCTTTTTATCGACAAGATTGTTCCATAGCCTAGTAAGGGCTTCAAAATACTCACTCTTGCGTGCGTAAGGCCTCACTCCAAGTTCGTCTAGACATAGTAGATCGGCAACACCAGTGAGGACTACAATACTAAAGTTAGCACCTTCTATCTAAGGAGAATTTTATCATTATGGCGATTCGATATAGACAGGAGGTATCATTGTCCCAACTCTTGACTAGTAGAAGGCATTTCGCCCCCTAAATCACGATAGAGTACGCCTAGGCTCCACAGTCGCTAGACACTCGGACGTCCTTGACGGTCGGTAATGATCGGCATTAAACGAAAGACGTCGAAAAAAGGCTGAAAAGGGGGAATAGCTTCCGAGGAATACTCACGATACATGGCCCTGACGGCATGGCCCTCGATAGTCTTCTGTTCTAGGATCGGAACGTGAGATTGGTTATACCACCCACTATCGTGCATCGAGTAACTGTCTGGCCGTTGATAAGGGCTTTCGCCACGCTGCTGTCGTTCCCACTCGTAGTAGTGGAGGCCATCCTGGCCTTTCGGGTTGCCACGCTCCTCTACGAAATACTGGGCCAGCTTATAAGCGTCTTCGTTCCCTGTCGCCGTATAGAGACGCAGGAGCGCGAGCTCCGTCTCTGGATGGCCTGGATAGGCATGTTTCTACGTAGAAGTCAGTCTATACTGTGGTTCTTGCGAGAGAGTTCGCCGCTTCGAGACGAGGAAAGGGGCAAAATATACTGACCTGATCCGGACCCGGGCCGATAACCGTGCTGATCAACTTGACGTATTTCTCTAACGGTTCTATCAGGAGGTTGTTCTTGTAGTAATTGCTATGCGCCAACGCCGCTTCTATTAGGTGTCCAGCACAGTACCTTTATTACACGAACAAGGTCAGCCAACCATCTGCCCCTGAATCTCAAACTCCATAATAAGGAGGAGAGGGTTGGATGAGAACTTACAGCTCATGCTTATCCCTAATATTCGACCACCTGCCATCCGGCTCTTCTATCGTGAACCACGTATTCAAATACCCATCCGGCTGCTGCGCACTACGTATCATATCCGCAAGCTCCCGCACCGCCGCATCGATCTCAGCGTCGTACTCCTCGCTCAGCAGGTAACACGCGCCCTCGATCCACTTAGCAACATCGCTATCCCAGTATACAGGCGGCGGGCACGGCCAGCGGGACTTATCATACGTCGGCTTCTTCTTCAAGCTAAACGCATCGTACTGTCCCGAGTCCTTCATCCGCTTGAGCTGCGCTTTCGCCGTTGCCCGCCCCACCGTCGTCCGCCGCGCCCGCAGCAGTGACGCCCCGGTGAACTCGGTCTGCGTGAACTGCGTCTGCGGATGTGCCATGGCTGCTATATCGTCGGGCTTGGTATTTAAGAAGAGGGAAGAAGAAGAAGCAGCACTAGGTCTAAGTCTGAATTGCTGCTCCTCACAGACATACGGCCGGGCAGCGACCTGTTTAAGAACAGGAACAGCGGTCTTGTCTACCATGGCTACGCAGTAATAACTGGTGCTACGTCGCTACGTCGCTACGGGAAATATGGGAATAGACCCGGGAATCGGAGTTGCAAGAACAATTACGACAATTCGGTTCACCTCACCGCGAAAAGAAACGAGCAAGGTGGTTTGGGGCATGACATCGCGAAGTCCGCTCTGGCAACCCAGTATAAACCCTCCAGCCGGCGAATGAGGGGAAAGCCTCAGTGCTGGGGGCGAGGTCACTAGACGCATGCACGAAGCGAAGAAAGGAATGATTAGCGGCCAGCTCCATCATTGTAATGTTACTACGAAGTGTATTTGAGGTCACGGATCTGGAGCAACGAGGGTCCCGGCAGATATCTCGCCCAAGATTCGGTGCTCCATTGAAAAAGCGTCTCGCAGGAGTCGTGGATTGTATGTACAAGACAGCTCACATAGGCAAAGCACGGCTTAGGGGTAACCTCGTTGCAGCTTGCATCGGAGATCGATGGGGGGGGGGGCCTAGGCCTTGGACAAATGGGAGCGGAACACGCCGCGGGCACAGCTTCTAATCTTATGGAATTGGGCTATATATTAGAATTGGCATTAGAGCGATACCGCATTTTGCTTTGCTTTGCGGTGAAAGAAAAAAAAAACGAAATTCGTTCATGGACTTATAAGAGAAGAATAAAAGAAGCACGAATCGTAGGCCCTTCTAGAAACAGGGTCAGAGACGTATAATGCTAGCAGCGTAACTCTAAACCCAACTGCTTGGTACCTGGCGAGTCGACCCTATGTAACTACGCAATGGGAAGACTTCCGATAGGCTGATTGTAGCCTCAAATTTCATGTCGCTAACCCCAATCATGGATGCCACGAGACCTAATAAAAGTCATATGACTATCCTAGCAAAGCGTCAGCTTGCCCGTTGGACGCCGACTCGGACGTTGCTCACATATTTTTATTCGTGAGCAGACCGCAGCCGAAGACGGCACGCAACCTAGGGACCGATTTTGCTTCACCGGTCTTCCTCGATTCGGCGTATAACTGGTAGACGGTTGAACTCAAAATTTTGAGCGGTGAGAGGAAACAACACTTACAAGTTGTCGATCGTGAAAGTTAGCAAAGTGAATATACGGCCAAGAAACCTACTTTGTCTATCTGTGCCAGACATATCATTCATTGGGAAATTATTAGTAAAGCTAAATAGGTCATTCCGCACTCGGGAGCATCGCACAGCATTGAATAATTCTAAGTGAAACCATCGGGAAAGAACTAGGCTGTTCTTGTATGTATTTCCTTACAGATATTACGACAAAGGCAACTTGTTTGCCACGACTCTGCCTCAACTAATGACGGGGGTATATTCCATACAGAAAGCCTTGCAAGGTAAAGGCCTCCCCGTTGACCATCTACTACGCTTAGGATAGGCAGCAAGGACTAAGATATTCATATATCGTCTTCGAGGAAACGATACGCAAATTTAAAATCCGCCTTCCTACGGTTCATCCTGGAAACATGTTAGCAACAGATTCGTAAGACCATATCTGAGCGTAAAGGAACTATATTTTCATGTTGAAAATAAGATAACGAAAGTGTCATTGTAGAATACGTACCAAGTTGATTCGTAGTCAAAGAAGCGATAGGTGCCTTGCTCGAACTCCTCAGTTATACTCTTAGGCTCCTCATGTCGTTGAAACCAAGTTTGGTACTGCTTATGAAACCGCCAACTTTGATCTTTAAGCGCCTTGGCTGCTAGATACTGTTGATAAGTGCCCTGTTTATAGTAGAACACATAGAAGAGCGTATCAGGTTCTATCCGCGAGTATAGCCGAGGATCTTCGAAGATGGGAAGCGGTTCCTGCGGGTACCCAGATGCTGAAGGATATCGGGTATCAGGTCTATATATCCGGGTTGGCTCCGAGTCGAATGCATCAATCGAGTTCAGGTTCGCCTGAGAAGCCGCCATCATGCGCAGATGTGACGGGCTATTCACTGGTAGTGAACGCTTCTTCGTCACTTCGAAAGACTCTACTAAATCCTGTAAGGAAGCAGGGAGATGGTATATAGACTCTTCTTCTTTCTCCTCAATAGGCTTAATACCATTAGCGACGCCATTGGATTGAGTTGCTATATGCCCGGGTTAGTAGGATGTAAATACTGCGCATATAACATGATATACCTTTCGAGGATTCAGCGTGATCCGTAGTGACGGGCGCTTTACCTGCAGCTTTCGAAGATGCCTTCTCTGGCTTCTTCGAAGCAGCGGCCGGGATAGTTGGCTCAGATACTTTAGATTCAGACACGCTTGTTGGAACAGAAAGGCTCCCTGGTTTCTGTTCTGACGAAGCCGGTTGTAAGAAAGCTATATTTGGTGAATTTGCAGCACTCGTCCTAGACGGCGCAGCAGGAGGTAAAGGTGAAATACCCGGTGTAGTTGATACTGGTTGCGATCCAGGTGGTGGTGGAAGTGGCGCGATACCAACATTGTTTTTATCGCTTGCGGCGGCGGCAGCAGCGGCTGAGGCATATTTGAGAACCTCTCCAGCTGGCCGTGCTGGTAACGATGCAGGCTTCATACCAGCATTGGCGGTACTACCATTAGTGACATTCGCTAAGGGGTTATGTAATGTTGCTAGAGTCGGGAGAGGAGACTTCATCTGTGCGGAGGGGCGCCGGCCAACGGCGGCAGCAGCATCGACAGCACTTCGTGACTTTCCGGGTAGACTACCAGATCGCGATTCTACATCCGCAACGTCTTCCTGTATAGATTGCGTATCTTGTGACGAGACTCGGTCATTGTCCTGGATCATACCATAAACGTCCTCCTCTTCTTGAAGATTCAACTCGTCATAAAGTCCTTCGTCTTCGATATAATCATCTGTTGTACCATCTGTGACGTAATATCGAATACTCTCTTCTAAGTCGTTCACTTGTTCCGTGTCGACGCCCCCGTTATCGAGTGATCTACGAATCAACTCGAGCTTTCCTTGGTGCCATTTATGCCTTTCGATTATGTGCTCGATAGCTGCCATACGATCTGCCTTGGCAGCGTGGCTCTTGCCCTTCTTCATTGTCGCTTGTATCGCCTCTCCTTCCGCTTCGAGCGCTTCGATCTGCTGTTCCAACTCGTCGACCATACTACTTAGGAACTCGCCCGCTTCTACCTTAGCTTGCTCTTTCGGATCTAACTTGGCGGCTGCTGAGAGGCCTTCTTTCGAGTACGCCTTGGTTTTCATAGCTTTTTCTACAGCCTTAAACCGTTCCATTTGCTACAATGCAGGGAGAAAGCGTTAGTGATATTATAGTAGAGCTTCGCGACATTCGCCTGCTCTAGCACATACCGTTTCTATCAGTTTCCGATGCTCCAGTAATGGAGCCTTGTCCTTGATGTCATTGCTAGCAGCCCACGTCTTGATTTGGTCTCGTAATCTCTGCAGCTTCTTTATTTCCCGTTTGAGGTTATCTTCCAACTTCTCCTTCTGAGCCGTATTATTTGACTGCTCTATCTTCTCATAAATGGCATCGAATTCGGCTACTCCTTCTGCAACCTTCTTGAAGCATTTATCTATCTCTTGTTGTAATTTCCTTGCTGCCATTGTGTCGATGTGTGCTCAGGAATGAACCCGAGCGAATATGTAAGGCGAATATGTAGGGGCTGGACGCGAAGGCCGTATACACAGGGCAGATTTCGTATTTCGTAAGGCGCAGCGATGTAGTTGATAGTTGGTAGGCAGGCGGGTATGTAGGTAAGGTTATGTAGGTAATTGTGACTGTGAAAAGTCTAAGTGAAACTGGCGCAGGATAAAACCCGGTCGAGGTAACCTCTAGGTTTGATTCCGTAGATCATTTAACGGTATCGCACTGGTTTAGCGTATGTAGTGTGGCGCTTGTTACTGGGGTGACCTATGAACCTATGAAGGTAATGAGGAAAGAATATTGAAATATTGGAATATCGCGACTAATGGATATTATTCGTTTTCTTTTGCTTTCTCTAGCGAGAATGGAGGAGACAGAAGAGGATGAGGAAGAGGAAGAGAAATAAGTAATGCACGTAATGTAATGTTTTAGTGATGTCTAAAACATTGTTGTTTGCTGACTATTGTAGGGTTTATCTGTTATCTTGGTTGCTATGTATTAGAAAGACTGAATCTTTTCACGCAGGTTTATTACATGCGACGATGAAAGATTGCGATTTCAGCACAGCCCTAAGGTGCAGCTATGTACATACAGCCTACAGCCTACAGCTTACAGCCTACTACAGCCTACCGCCTACTACCCACCCACAGCCCATAGCCTGCCTTACATGTAGGTACCTACCTTAATAACACCTGCCCAGTTGTTGTTGCTATGTTAGGTACGTAGGTATTTCCCTGTACCATATCGTACTTACCCCAACGTTATCAGGGTAAAGTTACAGGTAATTAGGTACTCTGGCTATTATCTGCCTCACATTTAATAGGTGTACCTAACAGGTACTACTACGTACCTCTATTACGTAGGTACCTTTATATCGGTATTAATGTTGAGGCTCGGTAAGATATTACCCATGCGTAATATTGCTCAAATTTTTATCTATTTTTATAGGTAATTGCTAAATATACAGTTGCTTTCTCCAACGTGCATTTATGTTTTGATTAAGGTATCTAACTAATTTTTTAACTTTGGCTTTTATTTTGACATTTGCCGTTTCAATGCGCAAAGCGAGCTTAACGTGTCAGCTGGCAATCAAATGACAGCTTAGTTCTAACAATTAGTAACACTAGCATTTTACCCAGACCTTGCCGTATAATTGAAGATTAAAGATAATACCTATCAACACCTCTAAAATACTTTGCAAATACATTATACATCTTATACTCTTTAATATAAATCATTCGTATTAGTATATTTGGAGTGATTTCTTTTGAGCAATATTCATATCGTTTAAGATGAAAGGTTAGTACTTTAAATTCAAGCATTTACCCTAACCCATTATTAATTATTCATAATACTTGCAGCTATCCTACAGCGCGTCCTGTTTGCTTCCGTGACGGTAGAAAAGGAGGTCGTATCGTCTATCGGAAAAGGAGTTCTAGTCTTTGCCGCAGTGGCTCCAGGTGATACAGAGAAAGAAGCAGATTCCCTAGCAGCTAAGGTATTAAAGCTGAAGCTGTGGGACGACAATGCGGGGGGGAGAGTATGATGACATATTTATGCCCCATTCTTTATTTCTCCTATGTCTCATACGCGTGTATCCCATGGTCATGTCTAACAAAGACTTATTAGTGGAAAAAGAGTGTGATGGATATCAGCGGTGAGGTCCTATGCGGTGAGTTCTAAGTGTTTTTGGTAAAAATGAATTATTATCACCTAACAAGGACCTTTCAAGTGTCCCAATTTACCCTACTTGCCTCTACTAAGAAGGGCAATAAGCCCGACTTCCATGGAGCAATGGGAGGGGAGGAGGCCAAAAGGCTTTACGACTACTTTTTCGAAAAAGTCCAACAAGGCTACGCAGCTGATAAAGTAAAGAACGGAGTGTTTCAGGCCATGATGGAAGTTGCCTTGGTGAACGATGGCCCTGTATGTCTTGAATTCCTCCATGCTTCCAACTCCATATAGGGTGAGATATTAACCTAGGTTTTAGGTCACGCTGGAGTTATCAGCTGGTCAAAAACCTATACCCGCACCAGCACCAACACCTACGCCAAATCAACAATAACGACTAGTTATCCAATAGCTCTTGTTTACAGCAACGTGATGATTGGCTTCTTAATAAAAACTCGACCGTTATATCTTGTTTGATTATTTAGTACTAATACATTATAATCAGAAGCTCGTGATCGAAAACAATCGCATCCTAAACCTATTGTAGTGAGGGTATCAATATTAATGAAAATGCTGCATGCAACGTGATAAAATGAAAAACGCCCACATTCGCCCTATTCCGTATTTACGAAGAGCCCGTAAACTCCTCTTAAAAGAGGGTGTTGGAGCGCTACGCCCATCAAAAAAAATCCGTTCTGGGGTATTACCGTTACGAAACTCCATGCAACGCTTGTGGTTGTTAGTTCAACCATCATTCTTCTTCGGGCGCCGATTGACCTTCCGGCTTCGCCTCTTTGCAACCACATTAGCATTCCATGTCCCCATAAAGATATCTTCACATTCATCCTCATCGTCTGAATCGAAGATGACGGGCTCTGCATCATCATCCGTTGGCACGTTTTCCTGGTCGGTTTCAAATTCGTGAATATCGCCAACTTTGGTGTCTTCCCAGTTTCGGTATACGACAACTCTTTGAGTCTCGAGTATGTACTTCCCGATCTTGTATTTCTGTGACTCTTCCTTCGCGTCTATGTATTTCCAGCCCACCTTGGCGTGACAAACGGTACAGGAGATATCTGCGACCACATGCGACCCAGTAACTAAGAGACGAGTTTCTGATTTGCCAATCTTGATGTTAGTAAGGTCCCCGGCCTTCATGCCTCTACGTAGCGGTTGGTCCTGGGCTGAAACTAGAAATGCACGGCCGTAACGGCCTGTGAATCCCTTACTAACAATTTGCGAGGCAAATGCAAAATCGGAAGCACATGTAGAGCACCTAATGGTGTTAGGTTGTGTTCGTGTAATAGACGCTTCTAAGGGTGCCAGGGATGGTTGGCTCCCTTTAGATCTAAAGTTGGTAAAAAGGTTGGTGGGTAAAGTGAATGAAGGTATCGATAGCCGCCTCGTAGGACTTGATATCGAATCCGTAGGAGACGAACTCAAAGACGGCGGAGTATCGGCTGATGGGCTTCCGTGACTCGAATGCGAGCTCTGTCGTCTTCGGCGAAATGGCATAGAGAGACTAGGAAGTAGGTAAACGGGAAACTTAAGTCCCTCGGCCTCCTGTCGAACCGGCGCAGGTAGAGGAGGCGGGGACGGAAGCGCCTCGCTAAACATTATGGAATACATGTTACCAGAGTTGTAAATTAGCCTATGATATATATCTTTCGATATAATGAATATGAATCATGCTCCGTTAGGGAGATGGGTGAATTTCAAGTGCCCGACTTGAATAATTTAAATTGAACTGTCAAAGGAGACCAGCTCAGTCCTCCTAGATAGAAAAGTCGAGGTTATGATTGACGTTGGAGTGTAACGACAGCTTAGCCCCGCATGCATGAAGCAGAAGAGCAATGAGCAATAAGCAATGGACAACAAAGAATGGTTCCATGCCCTGGATGGTTGGGCAGACATGCTACATCTTAAAAGAGCTTCTTACACTCCCGGAATATGCGGGTGATATCCATGTCAGGCTTCATCCATGAATGCTGTAAATGACATAGACTTGGTACATAATTACCAGGACTACCATTTAAAGTTGATCCCGTGTACATCACATCATCGCATCATTCTGAGGAAAAGGTGCACTCACACGCTCCCTTATCGGAGATGCCCCCCCTAAGCTTTATCGCCCGTTATCGTCCATTTATAGCCCATTATCGCTTACCCGACAAGGCTAAGAGAGCGGATAGAGCGGGCTACTGTTTTTGAGGTGACACTTGCATGACTCCTACTACGGCTATAAAAGGAATAGGCCTGGGCAGCTTGCTAAGTTTAATATGTAGATGGTGTCATATTATAATATTACCTAATGAAGCTTAGGTAGCTCCTATGATACAGCATAAATACATCTATAGGTATGTACTTGATATGCCATCTTTATATTTTAGGCCTATTTTAGCATATATTTAAACCGCGCCTACCAGGACCTAATTCGCTAGTCAGATCTTTTGAACGTAATATGCACCAGGCAATTCTGACTGTATTTGATCACAGTCAATTATTAAGTGCTGCATGTGTACCTAAGGTAGGCTTTGGCAAAAAAAACAAAACAAAAAAAAGATGACCTAACTTCTCTATATGCTGATTCGCGAATACATAACTACCTCGCCATCGCCAAGTGTAGCATCCGTCTTATGCTACCACATGTACTACATTATAGCCACCGACGATGTAAGCTCAAAGCCGAGTATGCGGAGCAAAGTCGCCGCCATGCGAGTCAGTAGAGCTAAATTGCGATATGAGTGAGTCAACCGAATGCCGAGCGCGGAGTAGCTATCTTCGTAGTACGATAGTAAAAAGCTGGAGTAAAAGTAGAAGAGAAGAGAAAAAAGGGCGCGGGCTAGTTAATATATGGTTGTGTTAGATCTCTAAATTATTTAAGATAATTTAATAGGTTATGGGCGTATCAAGAGGATATTTGGCGGGTTATCTTGTTATTTGGTTATCTGATTATCAGATTTAGTACACGAAGTAGCTCCCTTGCCTAATACAAGTAAAAGAGATTAGGTCACAATGTTCTTATACTAAAAGTTGTTAATATTACCAATATATCGTATAAATGTAGGCTCAAACCAAGGACACTAACACATTCCGATTATCAGATCAAATAGATATTCATAACAATCGCATGTTTTGATTTATATGTCGAAGATAAAACATGGCTCCCGGTGGGCTGATCGGCTCTGCGGCTTTCTGAGAAGTTTGGTGGAATGGAGTTGCCAAGCTGCACAACAATCGGCTACCAATCACCACGCTCCCAGCTTATTGGTTCAACCGATGGCATATTAGCACGTGATGGACATGCGGGGTGGCACGGCTACAATCCAGCAAATTTATTGGTCCAGTTGTAAGACTCTAGCCGCTTCCAGAATCTTGAAGCCGCTAGCCCGCTCTTTGGCAAATGCAAGTGCCCACATTGACCGCTGTTGTCTTCTTTCGAATATATTTGACCTGCGAGTTGCCGCCTCGTCCGCCCGCCTTACAATTTTCAAAAAGTTAAACCTACAAACTTCAACTCAACCATACACAGACAGTCAAATCCAAGCGACTCAACAGCAATTCAATTGACTCAACAGCCAAATCATAATCTAAACTTGATTGTCACGGACAGAAAATTCTTTCGACAGCGCACATCCATCAATTACGCTTAAGCTTTCCGGAGTCTCCCAAAGTCCTCGATTCATCATTTCGACCAGTCAACTCCATTTCTACGATAAACCTGGATTCCATTATTAGCAATGGCGCCAATGAAAAACAATAAAAATAACTGTAGTAGTAGTAACGGCGAGGCCGTGGCCCGTGAGGTCAATGTCCTCGCCAGTTGCTACGTCGTCGACCCCGCTGCGTCCCTAAAGGGACTTCACTACTGCACTACCGGGGCTGCAGGTAGGTCTTTATCCTCTTAACTAAACCCCCAAACTTACCTATACCAATCTACATATATCAATCTACACTTATGTACTAACCAATATTTTCCAACAGGGGCCGAGTGGTATTCCTGAGGTCCCTATCTCAGGTCTACCATCTCCTCCGTCAAGTCCCCCCCTCGCGGCCATCACGACGTCTAACGAGCTCGCTCTTCAGCCCAAGAACAAGAAGCGCAGCCGCAACGCACCGATTAGCCGTAGCCGCCGAGGGGGGCAACACTTCAGATCAGGGAAGAATGTGAGAGATTCTTTTGCGAGACTATGAAAGCCGTGTTCCAGGGTGAGTGGAATGTGGCCGGTAATGGCTCCTGCCTGACTGGTGTTAATTACGCGCTTACACCACCTGACGACTATCCTATGAGTCAGTCGTCCTTCTGCAACGTCGATACCAAACTTGGAGTCTATGTGAACGGATGGATGGAATTTTGGGATTATGCTGGAGGTGCTAGCTTCCGAGCCTTTATCACAGAAGATGGCGACGAGAAATCTTTGTTTGCATTCTTTGATAGCGGGCTCGTAGGCCGCGATCTTAAACAAGCGTATGTTATTTCCTTTCCATCATATCATTCGGAGCCATGCTGACACTATTGCAGACTCATTGCTTTGATTGAGTTAGCCGATGGTCCAATCGAATGCTCACATGTCGTGATCTGTGTAGACCGTTCGATGCCTCATGAATATGCGAAGGCATTGATGAAGAGTCTTCAGTGGGTCGGTTTCGAAATGACCACCTTGGACCATTGGGCCAAAGACATCGATATCATCAGCGACAAATGGTTATTCATGGGTATGGAAGTCTAGATGTGATATTCTGGACTCTAACGATCGTTCAACCTATTTCGATTTTACGAAGTAGCTCGGGGTTCTTCGGCGTCTAAACACCTATCTTTAAGGTAAAGGTTGTTTTCTTTTTTTGTTGGAGTTCTTGGAAGGCGTATTTACACCTCTACTAGCTGTGGCGTATGGGTCGTTTCTATTACATCTGCTGCATTCATACCATAGGCGTCGCATCGGCTTAGAGGACCGAGATTGAAAATGGATCAGTAATGCGAAGGCAATGGTATAGTAACAAATTACTATCAATAGACAACGAGCTTCTAACTTTCCACTTCCATATTCTAAACCCGTAACGCCTATCTACTAAATGCCGTAATGCGATAAATGCGCCAGACCCATTACCACCCTCGACCCCAGATTTCATAATTCCCCTTCGAACTGTCTCACTTCCAACCCCTTTTCTGATAGGTAATCCTTGACTTGCTTGACAGTGTACTCTCCCCTGTGGAACATACCTGCTCCCAACGCAGCATCCGTCCGCGTCTTCTCGAATACTTCCTGGAAGTGGGATGGGTTGCCGGCGCCGCTGGACGCGATGACGGGAATGCGTACAGAGGCCTTGACTTGGTTAATCAACTCGAGGTCAAAACCAGAGTTGGTACCGTCGCGATCAATGCAGTTAAGCAGGATCTCGCCGGTACCCATGGCCTCTACGGCACGTACTAGCTCGACGACGTCTAAATCCCGGGTCTCGCGGCCACCCTTGATCGTGCAGGCGTACCAACAATATTCCTCGCCTCGGGGACCCGGAAGTTAGTGCGGATAGTGGCGTGGCGCGTGGCATCGACCTTAGGCACGTAGACGCGCTTAGGATCGACGCTGACTACAACGGCTTGGTTTCCGTACGCCTTGGATATCTGCTCAATGGCCGTGTTACCGAAGAGCTTGCGCCCAACGGCAAGGTACTCCTCAGCAGCAAGCACGGCATCAGATCCAATGGAGACCTTGTCCGCGCCGCTCTTGAAGTACATGGTCGCGATCTCAAGCGCGCTGACCTTGGTCCCATCTGTATCAACCGTGTCGCGGATACCGCCGCCAACGGTCAGCGGGACGAAGACTGTCTCCGAGGTGCGCCGTAAAATCTCGAGCATAGGCAGGTCGGCTAGCGGACAGTCCCGGAAGCTGGTGATGTTGAGGAAGGTGACTTCGTCCGCGCCTTGCTCGTAGTACTTCTTGGCCATCTCGACTGGTTTGCCAAGGTTGCGCACGTCGCGGTTGTCGGTCTTTTCGCGCACGTCGTATTGGTCGCCCTTCGTTACGACGAGGTCTCCTTGGTCGTTTGTTCGTACGTCAAGACATGCGATGACTCGCTTTGTTAGGCCACCTGTTGGTGCTGGTCCGGTTACGTCTTGGCCTAGTGTCTTTGCACCTTCGCCTGTCAGGAATGCTTTTAGCACTCTGAGTCCCGCAACGCCGCTCTTCTCCGGGTGGAACTGCGTCGCCAGTACATTCGCCTTCGCTACGGCGCCCACAAATACCTCTCCGCCGTACTCTCCTGTCGCAACGGTCCAGCCTTGGCTCTCTAGGTCGCCTTTAACGTACGGGTACTTATATGAGTGGACATAGTAGTACTTGCTTTGCGGGCTCAGATCGTATAAACTCTTGCCGCCGGCATTGGCGCTATTCCAGCCGATATGCGGAACGGATTTTTGGGTATCATCGAACCGATCCAGAGAACCCTTTATTATACCTAGACCCGGATGGGCAGGGTCCTCAACTGAACCTTCAAACAGCGCTTGAAGCCCGACGCAGATCCCTATAAATGGCTTGCCGGCTTCGATATGCGCGCGAACGGCAGGTAAGTATCCGGCAGATGCTAACTGACTTGTACAGTGGCCGAAGTGGCCAACTCCGGGCAGAATCAACTTTTCTGCACGCGCGACCTCATCCGGGCTACGGACCCATTCAACGCTGTATCCGCACTTTTCGATGGCGTTTACAAGAGATCGTACATTGCCCGCGACATAGTCGAGCAAGTGAACTGTAGGCATAGCGGGCGAGATCGGCAGTGGCGTGTAAGTGTAAGGGACCCGAGAGCACGAAAAATTTGCAATGTTTGGGGAGGTTAGGTAGGGGAAGTTGGATTTAGGTACCTACGTTAACTATAGTTTATAGTGAAGTAGCTGTAAATTAGCGATAACCTAGCGGACCTCGAAGTTTATCTACGCGAGAGCTAAAGGGAGTTTGACGGGTGAGTCAAAGGCAGCTACAATGGGAATTTTCAGCACGGATGAGGGGCAGGAGGGGCAGCTAGGACGGGAGCGATTGCGCTTGAAATGACCCCTCCAAGAATTACCTAGCTAGGAAACTTAGCGCATAATGCCAGTGTTGACCGCCTAAGCTACCGCTAGAAATGGCAAGCACCTCATTTCTAAACTTCATGACATTCCACTTAAAGGATTCGAGCTATGAAGGTACAACTTAGGTTCTTTCGAAGATAGCCTTACCAGATAATTAAAAATTACAATTGCAAAGTTGAATTTCACTTCTGTGTTACATGATAATTCGACATCTCAAATGCGTTTCTGCATATCCTTAAGCCGTCATAATTCCGTCTTACAGATATCCGATGGCTAGGAACGGTATAAGTGAGGCTGGTCCTCGCGTTACCTACGGAGCTCCCGCGACCTGGCACAGCCAACTACCCGCCGAGGAGGATGAATCTGAATGGGAATATGAATATTCCCAAACTGAAACTGAGGTAAGTAACCTACTATAAGCATTTAGATTAGCGACTAACTTATATAAGAGTTTCTATGTCACTCTAGATCTTTCTCAAGCAGACTTCACTAGCCGTGATGCCAGTGTTGTTAACAGGCCGGGCTATCGAGGTGGCGAGAAAGCTGAAAGGGCGAAATTATACTTGAACAGGCGGATGAGTCCGAGTAACGGTATCGATAATAGCGACGATGAGAGAGATCTATCTCGAAATTCAAAGCCGAAAGAGTCTCAAATTGCTGACGATGGAGATGACCATGAAGTTCAGATCTTGGACCTCGAAACTACTAATCCGATTATTTCGTATAAAGGACGTGTTTATTCAGGCCAATGGAACCAGAACGTCGGTACCGAACTCCTTATGGTAAAACGTGACAACGATAACCCTCTTCCGGCTCTCCGACAGCTGGATCATGATGTGGATCTCTTGGCCGCTAGCTGCGCAAGAATCAACGTCAAGGAGAAACAGCTTAAGCCCAAGGACACCACTCTAAAACGACAGCGCGATGCGATTGCGTCCAAAGAGCGGCAAACCTCTCAACCTGCCGTCCCTCCCGCCGAAAAGTGGGCGGGTCAAGAGAGAGTCGCCCAGGGCAATTTTCTCGAGAAGCTCATCGCGCTCAAGAAAAAGTTGGGTGAGACGGACGAAGTCACTGTAATTGCTAAGAGCATGGAAGTGAGAGCCCAGCACAACCGAAGCAGGAAACTCAAGCAAGGCCACCGAGGCAAATTTAATCTTCCTCATACTAGGGGCCCGAGGAGAATGAGGGTGAGGGACGCTGGTATTCTAAGAACGCTATCGATTCGCGAGGGGTCAGCTGCAACTGCAACTGCAACTTCACCTTCGCCAAGCGTTGCTGATACTATGGTTTCTACGCCTACACCGCATCATTGGGATGAATTGGAAGAAGGGGAGCAGGGAGATGAGAATGAGGTGATAGATGAGAATGGAGATGATGAAGAGATGGATAGGGTCGAGTATTATGGATCTGGAGGAGAGGGCGATGAGAATGAGGACGTGGACATGGATGAAATCTAAGGATTCTTTCAAGCATGCCGATCGGAGTATCGTACTAAGTTATATCAGCTCTTACCATAACACTTCAAGGTTTAGTCAAGAGCCCTCTACAATGGGAATCAATCTTTGTGCTTTAATTTGCCTATTCTTAAGTATTCTTGTCTGCTTCCTGTGGAGTACTTATTCCTCGGGGTAAATATACATGTATGCGCGATCGCACTTTTCAGCTCATGATATAGTACCCAGTCACAGACAACCTACTCGATGATCCTCAAACCCCATCAACCAGCCATGGCGTTTTAGACCAGTAATTTTATTGATCAGGTTACCCAGCCAACCCGTTTCAATTACGCGTTGCCCAATTCCGTCCCAGTACTTGTTACAGTTTACAATCTAGAATTCATCCTGGAATTAATTCTAGAATAGATCGTTGATACTCTTGTCGGCATCCTTCTTGATAAGATCTATCATTCCCTACCAAGTTGTTATCAGATAAGCCATACATTACCTCCAGCTACGTATGTAGAAGCCAAAGACCAAAACAGCGGTGAAGACTGTGGGATTGAAGGGGGGGGAAATATATATGTGGAAAATGAGACAGTTGCGGAAATCGTGACCCACCTGAGGCATGATCGGCTTTCCGTCTTTGCCCTTCACGTAGCGGAACGGCATCTCTGTGCTCTCGTGCTCGGTGAACTTGAGCTCGGGGTAGTCGAGGTAGGGTATCTTGTTCAACGTGACTGTTTTTCTCGTCAGCTCTGAGTCCGTGATACTTACACTCGTTCGCGGGTAGTTGGCGATGAAAAGAGGTTGAGATGGGGGATACTAATGGGGAAAATAAACTTACACTGCTCCTCGATCACCATCCGCGTCACCCGCACCGCCGTATCCGTCGTCATCTGCACAGGACCTAACCGGCGACCCTGATATCCCTTCTTACGTAGCTCGGACGTGCGATCTATTCACCATATTAGCAACGTGACGTTCATCACCATTCCGCCATCCTCTTTTCACCCGTCCTCCGCCCTCCCACAAGAAAGCCCATCCACATACCTCTCGGCGGATCATCGCCCAGAATGCCCCCGAACAAAAACACATCGAAATCCCTCTTATCATCCGGGCTCAAGTCCTTGTCGGCCTGCGGATCGAGCAGACACACCCTGTCCCTCTCCTCCTCGTCCGTGTAAATCTCCTCGACGCTCCGGCCCTCGGCGATGAAGGACGGGAACCCGGTCAGCTTATACGGGACCTTGAACCCGCGCGGCAGCGACGACAGCATAAACGTGCCCTGCACCCGCTGCGTCTCCTCCGCGATCGCCGCGTACTCCAGCTCCGACCACGGCCCCAGCTCCGCGTCCAGGTGCTCCACTACGTATGTCTTGCGTTCCGGCATCTTGGTGCTGCTGGTGCTGGTGCTGGTGGGCTGGGACTTGCTGCTGCTGCGTGCGCGCGCGTGTGTGTACGTGCGTACGTGGGTGGGCAAGTGGGTGGCTGGGCTGCTTATAATGTGGGTAACTATGTGGAAAAGGAGGACACCTTTTTACATATATATTCCGAGATTTCCCTGGATCTCGGTGTCTATTGTTGTGTTTTGTTTGCGTATCAGGTATATGTAATATGGCTGCAATGAGACCCAAAAGCTTAGGTTAGTAGGTAGTTATACAATACGCCTAATTAATTACTAGGTATAAGAGGGAGTCTTAGTACTAATCCTGTTATTGTGATTTTTACCAACCACTTAGGTAAAAACAACTTATAAAAAATTATGAACTTACGATGTATGTATCTGCTGACCCGTTCGACTTAATTGTATGAATTTATTGGCTCCCAAGAGGGAAGCCCAAACAAAAGCAACCTTAAGCCCTGATTTTATACCAATTGAGAAAATCCCACTAAACTGAAAGAGCGGGAACCAATCAAGTCGATACAAACCAAAGCTCCTACGTAGACACCCTTATGTCATTTGAAGCTCGATTCAGTCACTACATTAGGTATATATGGAATGAGAAATTAGAAATTAGAAGTCAGTTGTAAAGACGCACTTGAACTTATTAATAGGCCTAGACACAGGATTGTGAGGTTAGACTGATCAAAACACTACCACATTATATACCCTTCTAGTACCAATTCCATGCCAAATTGACCTCAATCATCGTGCCTTTTAATGCCCTTGAACCCTGCGCCCGTAGCCAGCGACTACTTATGAAAAATACACCCGAGAAGCCCCCTCGTAGGACCATGGTAATATGGAGCAGTTAATATAAGAATTTAAGCGGTTGACTTCCGCGAACCTTTGGTTGGAAGAGATCCAAAGTCTTTACTCTTACGCTTCTTCGTAGGCCTGCTCGATCCCCCTTTAGGTCGGTAACCGCCATCATCATCTCTTTTCCTCTTTCCCTTCGCCGGCGCATCGTAACCCGCATCATCGTCCCAGTCCGCGGACTCGGCAGCTTCCTTCTCTTTTTCCTTACGGCTGACAGCTGATTGCCTCTTATTCCGTGCGGCCCCGCCGCCTTTGCGCTTCCGACCGTCGTCGTCCTTATCATGGCCATCATCCTTATCTTTGCCTTTATCCTTCTCCTTTTCCTTCTCAAGGTCCTGGAGGAACGTCTTAGGTGCATGTCTTCGTAACCAGTTGTAGACGCTCGTCGGATTGCGCAGCGCAAAGTTAGCGGCTGGATTTGGGATCTCCTTGCCAATGGCGCTGGGCGCGAGAGTGGGCTTTGGCTTTAGGCCCAATCGCGTATCGAGTTCGTGGAGATACTCGTCAACGTCATCGGCTGTTAAAAATGAAGTAGGGTGTATCTGGGGATCTCGAGGTTCCAAGTCATCCAAGATTTCTGGATATTGCTCAACGGTGGCGGCAAACGATCTATGTGGAACGTCCTCCTCTAGTCGCCTTAGAGATCTTGTAGGTTTTTGGGTTGCGTCTGAGTCGCTATCATCATCGTCGTCTTCCAAACCAAGGTCTATGCGTCGCTCGAAAGGGATCTGGGGTGACTCGTTGATATCAAATAGCAAGTCTAGTAGGCGACTGGAGGCATAGTTAGTGGTCGCGTGTCTATTTTTTCGAGATAAAGCGGAAGAAAGGGATAGTTCTTACTCGTTCTCGATAGCTAAACGCTTAGCAGTTCGCATGGCCTTTTGTTCTAATTTATGCAGAGTCTCTATCTCCTGCATTTGGTGGTCAAACTTGATGCGCATCTTTCGATACTTCTTTTTCCAGGATTTATATGACGGCCTGGTATCGGTCATATGAAGGTCGCTATGGTCGACATCTTTGTCGAACTCAGCCTTAACTGAGCGCTCCATTGTCTGTCTAGGGAACAGACGTCTTACGCGATAGAGACGCGATAAATGATAATTTGATGATTGTAAAAGGAAAGGGAGGGAGTTAAATTAGAGATGGTAAGAATTTTAAAAGGTTGAGTTAATCGATTTAATTGATTGCGAAGAGAAGTAAATGAGAGATAAAATTTCAGTTGGGAGAGAGAGGCTATCCTAAATGATTACGACAAGGCGGAATTGTCAAACATGGCCCATGCCTCCCGAACGTGACTAAAAACAAGAAGACAATGAGAGTTGGGGGTTAATGTTTGGCGGATTGAAAATTTAGTAATTCAAAAAAAAAAAGTGCGGGTGCATTCATAAAAAAAGAGGTTATGTGTTATGGCCGTTATGACAAGAGCGATCGCATTTTCCTCCTAGTCTGGCACATTGCAAATTGATACCGCGCATCTTTCCTTCCAACAACACGCGTTCATACCATTCCTCCTTCTTTTGGGGGCTAATAAAAGCATCAGTTCTCCGAATGGAGCATTTAACTAAACCCACCCCCTTATCAATTAAACATTCCACACCACAAGCTAATCGATACCAAACCTAAAAAGGTCAAATTCTAGACCCCACCAGCCCACCATCGATAGCCAATCTTTTACCCATCTTTATAGCCAATAGTTATCATTAGAAATATTCACAGGCTGACCTTTGCAAACAACAAAAAGTCAATTGGGATAATTAATTAACCAAATATATACAGTTGTATGTTCCGACAAATATTCAAAATGGGCGAAAACGCAGCAAAAAGATTGAAAACCTCGGATTGTGGTAGCGGTGTCAAAATCGGCACCCACAACGGCCATTTCCATGCTGATGAGGCCCTCGCTGTTTATATGCTACGGCTACTTCCTACCTATGCCGACTCCTCCCTCGTCCGTACGCGCGACCCAGCTCTACTAGAAACATGCCACACCGTCGTCGATGTAGGCGGTGAATATGACGCCTCGCGCAACCGTTACGACCACCATCAGCGTACATTCACCACGACTTTCCCCGGCCGACCAACTAAACTATCCAGCGCGGGGTTGGTGTACATGCACTTCGGCAAGTCCATAATCGCCCAGCACCTAAGCCAGTCCGAGGATAGCGACGAGGTCGGTGTTTTATGGAACAAGCTCTACGAGTCCTTTATCGAGGCTCTCGATGCCCACGACAACGGCATCTCTTCGTACGACTCGAAGAAGCTAGAGGAGGCTGGCATCGAGAAAGCCTTTAGCACTGGCGGTTTCACGCTCGGTGCTATGGTCGGTCGCCTAAACCCCAACTGGAACGACCCCACGCCCTCGGACCCGACTGAGGCTCAGGCTGCCGAGGACGAGAAATTCCTTACGGCGAGCACGCGTATCGGCGAGGAGTTCTCACGGGATCTCGATTACTATGCACGAGCATGGCTGCCCGCGCGCGCCATCGTTCAGGATGCTTACAAGAAGAGACTACAATTCGACCCTGAGGGCCGCGTCATGGTGCTCGAGGGCCAGGCCGTGCCCTGGAAGGACCACCTATATACCCTAGAAGAAGAAGAGGGAGAGTCGGCTAAGAAAGTTCTCTACGTGCTGTACCCGGAGAAACCTGTCCCCGACGCCAAGTGGCGGATACAAGCCGTACCTGTGACCAAGGACTCGTTCCAGAGCCGAAAGGCGCTGCCCGAGCCATGGCGGGGCGCGCGCGATGAGCAGTTGGACGAGGTGTCTGGGGTTCCGGGCGGTGTGTTTATACACGCGTCGGGATTCATTGGAGGAAACAAGACCTTCGAGGGTGCTAAGGCGTTGGCAGAGAAGGCATGTGCATTTTGAAGATAGAATTCCACTTACCAAGTATGTAGAGGATCTGGAAAAGTGTGATAGCCTCTCTAGTATATACCCAACAGAAAGACAGAAATCAATGGAAGGCTACAACCTGGCAAATGAATACTGTTGGGAACATGGCACAACGACCTGATATTTTCCGAGATATGAACCCTCGTTATCAAAACAACTATCTGACACTGACACCAGAGCAATGCCTAACCCATGTAACATTCACAGGTAAGAGTAATAAATAGCAGCAGTTCCAAGCGTAGTCAACCAACCTGGAACACAAGAGACTAAAACAAAAGAAAAGAAACCAGGGATTTTAGCGAAAGTTCTCGATTTGGGATTTGGGAATAGACCCTAGAAGAAAACGACGACGACGACAATGATGACACAGTCGTCGTTCCATTCGTAACATTTTTTTGCAATTGCGAAAATTTCCCTTTGCCAGTACCACGCGAAATCACCGTTTGTTTCCCCGAACGCCGCGGGAGGATAAAAATCAAACAAGTAACTAAAAAGCCCTCGTAACCCATCGTCGTGAGAGGGAGCCGGCTACTAGCACCTTTTGCACCTTTCTCGTCTCCCTCGCGCGCTACATAACGCAACGCAACGCAATTGAACTGCTCGGTCGTACAACGACGGGCAAAAAAAAAAACGTACACATGCGCTCCCCTTGGTCGTGCATGATAGGGCTGAGGAGGAGGGTGGAAACCCTTTAGATAACGCGCCTCTTTTCTCAGGTAGGTAGCATCCAACGCTGTTTATCCGCTGTTCTCCGTAGAATCGTCTCGTCTCACCTCATCCTGCGTTGTCCCGCCCCTGTAGCAGTCTGGCCTTACTATCATCCTATCTTCGGATTGGGATACCTTTGGCAGCATCGCCGTTTGCCGTGGTAGTGGTAGTGGTAGCGGTAGCCTCAACATTGTTAGCGTTGTTCACCTTTTCGCCATTCTCAGCAGCATCGTTCTCGTCGGCGCTGGTCTCGCGGTTGAGGAAGCTGCTCTCCTTGATGGGGCTGCCGGTGGAGGTGACCTGTTGGCCGGTGTGGGCGTGTAGGCTGGGGTGGTGCTGATGAGCGACGACGCTGCCGCGTTTTGGCCGTTGGGCGATGTTAGGTGGGGGATGTTCTCGGGGACGGGATGCTGGCTGCCGACGCTGCCTGTGTCGACGCTGTCGCCCTTGCCTGCCTTCGACATGGCGTAGTCTCCGCTGTCGAAATACTTGCGCTCCTTCAAGTGCTTGGCGAAGTGGTCGGATTTCGACGGCAGCTTGCCGTACAGGCGGAAGAGGCGTTGCTCATCAGGGGTGAGCGACTACGATAGAGGGAGTTAGCATCCATGCTGGTGGTATTTGTATGTGGGGTTATGTGCAGTGGTGTCATGTGGAACGATAGAGATGTTTGGTAGTATAGTAGAGACAAAGATGTGAGACTTAAATCTCGCCATAGTAAACCAAATATTGAGATGATAGGCTTAGTTCCGTCCATCGTATCTTCTACCCCCTGGTTTGGGTACAGTAAGTGGGCATCCAACCCAACGAGGAGTAGTAGAGTAGAGTAGATGGGTGTGGTGGGGAGGGATGTAAGTGTGAATGGAAAACTGACCTTGACGTCAACCTTGTTCTTCTGGTGAGGATTCATGATGAAGTACGCGAAGGTCGCCTCGATCAAAGGAACGAGTCTTTAACAGACGGGTTTCTCAGTGCCGTTGGGCTTGCGAATAGACGGTGGTGTTGAAGAAGAAGATGTGGTCGAAAGAGGTGGGAAGTTTCGTCGTGGTTTGTATTGGAAGTTCGTTTTGGGGGAGGGGAGCAAGAATATCTACCACTAAGCCAGGTAAGTACCCTAGTATCTTTTAAGTACAACAAGGTAGGTTAGGTACCTAAGTATCTAACAATAAACCTAACATCACTTAAATGTGACTACCGATTATGAGCTGTGGCAGGTGTAGGTGGTGGGATGGCTGACTACCACTACTATTGGGGGGTGACGGAATTGTACCCGCTAGCGCTACTCTTAGTTCAGACAAAGACCCAACTATAAGCACAAGCCGCTTAAGTAAGGACAAAGTACCTCCAAGCGTCCAAATACAACTGTTTGTATCTAGTTGCTTGTACATATATGAGCAAGTGGTAACACGATGTCACCTACAATACACGGAAGTTGCCGCTTTTTAAACAATTTAAACATAATTTAATATAACTATTATTAATATCATGTTATTTTTAATTTTTAAATGTACATATCACGAGGCTAAAGCCAAAAGGTGACATTTATTGAAGATGATGTTTTAGGGAACTAGTTAGAGCATCATATCCTTGCAGTTTCGCTGCAAGGCTTTGTTTCGCTGTTTTAGGTACTCTTCGCCTTTAATAGAAGAGCGTCCAAGTGGTTGGAATTTATGCCAAGGACGGCCTTTGCTCTTCCCTCTTTTCAACGTCTATCTTGATATTTGGTAGCCTCGTGTTTTTTCCCCCAACGTTGGATGCGGCAAATAGTTGTGCGAAGCTTTTTCAACTCTTCCACGTTGGGAAGCCAAAAATGGTCAACGAGTTACCCAAATGTAAGACTCCAAGTATTGATACCACAGCCTGCGGAGGATACACGGAATACTACGATGTATTTTTGTTAGAGTTGAATAGATTAAGCTCTTTACGGCGCCTACCTCAAAAGGGATCCTCAATAGCTAAGACTCCCCTTTCTATGGGATATATGCTAATCAGCCATTCGAGAACTCTAATAATAGCATTGGAGTAATATATGTGATCTGTCTCCATAAGAATGCCTCTGTTAAAGATTATCTTCCCGAAGTGTAGAAAAGGCAAGGAGGAAAATTACTCTTTTAAGCAGTATGAATCCCATGTGCTGTTTTGTGGGACATAGGCATTACACTGGCAATATACTTTAAAATAAGACATACTTTGCATGAGGTGCTTAAGTTAGAGAAACTCATTAACTACCTCTCATAATCGTCTTGTAATCGCAAGCGTAACGGTGATAATGTCGTATATTCCTTCATATAGTAGCCTTATTTTGAAGTCACTATTAAAAAGGTTATATTGTGCACAGGCTTTTACTATGCCTACCTACCTACCAGGTAAAGTACCTAAAGTACTCCCTATTCCTTTGACTACCTAGACTTAACCTAATAATGCTTCTTTTTATTGAGTCTCAGATAGTCTCCAGCAGTAATATGTTCATAACGAGCCGGATTATCAGACGATACAAATTGCAACTTAGGACCTATATCTGCAGTCGGCGGCGGCCGGAAGAACATGATGGCTGACCTTCGTTCCGGTATGCGCGACGTCCCGGTCTCAGGTGGTAGACCGACACGATGCAAAGCAGCGCGCAAGTGTCCATTTGTCCAGCGCTCTAGAGTGTCCGACACCAGAAGTACGACATCACCTTCCCGCTCCACGAATACGGGAGCGAATTCACAGCGGCCCTCACTCAATCCGCGCACCTCAAGCTCAAGCCCTGACGCACTGACGCCATCCTGGAAGACTGCGCTTATAACCCCGAGGTCTGAGTGCGGCCGGATGCGGCGCATGGACACATCACCACCATCAGTCATGTCCCGCGCAACCTCCGGATGGAAATTTAGGTTCAGCTCAGTCCCAGTCCCACTGGTTCCGGGCGGGTTGAGGGTTCCTAGAGGGACGTTAAGGCCTAGCTCGATCGCGGCGAGTAACATATTGCATGCTTTCATTATCTTCAGATATGCGCCTCGGGTTGCGCCATTGAAACCTGGTAGCAGAGTTTCGGCAAGCTGAGGCGTGGGGAAGGAAAAATCTCTAGGATGGCCAATAGCAAATTTCTCATGGGCGTCCAGAAGCTGTGCATTAGGAGATCTAGTAGAGACATCGATCTGGCGTGAACGAAAGGAGGAAACTGCATTTAGGTTCGGGGCGTCATGAAGATCGGGCCGCACTATAGCGGTCTTTTCATAAGCCCATGACGAGTATCCTCTTTCCGGGGCCTCGCCACCGGGATGGCGAACACTAAGTTTAGCAGGAAGAGATAGATTGAAAAAAAGATAATGCTGTATAAAGGGATCAAAAGGAGTTAGAAATTGCCTATAGTTAACCTATAATTTGTAGTAGAAGGTAGTAAGCGTACATAATTGAACAGCACCCTAATAGTCTGCGGAGCAACGCCGTAGTTACGCAGACGGGCGAAGCCATGCTGTCTTAGGTGTGAGACAAGTTCGGCGGCAAAGGCACGACGAGCCTGATTCGTATTTACAAGCTTCTTAGCAGAGAAGATAGGGGATGCGTCGAGTGTTGGGGGCAAGCGGAACATGTCTATACTACCTAGTAAGGAGAGACTCTAGGGGTTCGTAAATATCCTTAACTTCCAGAATATATTTGAAAAAATTCCAAATAAATAATGCCCAGATATGTTACACACTATACGCACCTATCTACCTATATTGAGATACACTTATACATAAGACGGTACAAACAAGCGTAATCACGGGATATATCAAACGCCAGCGCGACTTGTAATACACGAGGCATGCATATCTGATCTCTTTAGGGAGGCGGCTTGTTTATTTCCATGTCGTGCGAGGTGAAATCTACCTATCCATTCGACTTCGCCCCATTCTCCTTCTTACTATTAAGATCACGTTTACGTTTATGAGTGGCTATAAGCTAAGTAGAGAATTACAGCGGTCGTATCTATGGCGCTGAGGCGTCTGTCAATAAGCCATAGATGTCGTCACGCTGACAGATAATGTCATGCCCTCTTTCAAAAATGATACGAGATAGCATGTAAGCTTCTACACAACTCGGGACGATCATATTGGGGTATCTTAAAGGAGGCTAGATGTAGTAGAGTAGCTCGGTGCTATAACCCCTTTTTAACATTAGATGAAACTTAGACCTGACCCCCCGAATCTCCTACGTCCGTGTAATAAGATACGAAAGATCCGAGTATGTTGGTATAGTTATATAGTTAAATACCTGCTTCTTCTCTGCTGGAAATATTGTAGAACCCATCATGTGGGTATAATGCTTCAATCACAATTATACGGCATTGCCACCTTTCAAGCCTTACCCAGTCTAAGACCTGTAACAGGCATATTACACTTTTACAGAACTCAGCTACTTGATATTGTAAGATATGATAGGTAGGTTAAACTAATTATTACGATACTGGGAGTATGCAATGAGTATTGTATACGATAGGCAAACTTATGTTCCTGTCAAATCCAATTATACTGTTAAGAGAAAGTTTTTAAAATTATCTATTTCATGAAGTAAATCAGCCGGCATTGTAAACCCATGCTCATAAATAAGATTTTAAATGAAACATCTAGAACAAAGAACATCTCCAGTATGTATACCCAGCTCGAGCTTCTACAGTTGGAACTAGAGCCGATTGTGAAACAACGAACTTGATTCCATGCTTTTGCGCCACCTCGTGATACTCGCCATGCTTAGCAATCTTGGCAGGTAAGACTTGGCTATCAGCGATCGTCCCTTTAACCAACCAGTGGCTCCGACTTTTCGGATCCCGATGGTTCCGTCAGATGATCGGCGCAGATATTATGGAAGGCGTTGGTGGAGGAAAAGATATTCAGGAACTAGAGTCAGGAATAAAAATATAAGCACCTATTCTCGCATATCATCCACGAGGACTAACATTTATATTTATAATTAGGTATCTAAAAGCTACTACTACCAGTAACGTTCATCTGAGAGCCTCAAGTACAGACCTATGTGATAAGAGAGTTGACTTAATAGACGTTGTCGTAGGTTGTTATCTTAGTATCTTAAGGTCCATGGCCTTTTAATAGTCGTTCTGCTTACGGCTTACTCTCATTTAAGATCTATATAATACCATATACCTTCATTTTAACCTTCTTGGTGTTATACAACAGACCTAGTCCCAGTCCCGTTCCACACAGAGGAGAGCCGCTCAGGGAAACAAACCGGTTGGACAACTTAACTCTTCACAATATTCAAATAGTTTTAGCCTACAAAGGAATGTGCTACTAAAACTCTTCCCCTAACGTTGTTCGCTAGAACAAACCTCGGGTCATCATAATAGCAGATCGTAAACAACACGAAACAACAGGGTTTAAACCAAGTTTCTATTACTTCCATGTGTATTCTAGGGTGCCGGTAGTCACTTTTCCATGTAAGTAGCGATCTTGCGAAGGATGACATCGCTGGAGGCTACTACGCCGTTCGGGGAATCCTACACGTGGATTTGCGCAAAAATCTGACCTAACGACTTCTTTATATCCTATTATATCACTTTCTATAAGCTGCCTACTAGAGAAAATCCGAAGCTTAAGTCAAACTAATGACAGTTCCTAATTTAGCTATGGATTATCCATGTCTTCACTGATCCGTTTCAGTCACAATAGGCAATAGAAAAAAGGGGTATATGATAGGATATACCACAACATCTAGTGAAAGAATATTTGTTGGCCCCTTCTTCGGGTAGCGCCTCTTAAGTACGCATTTATCCTCACCAACACCATGTCGTCGCTATTCATGCGGCTCACCTCATTGGTCCAGGGCTTTAGATATCCAACGGATTAAGAAATACCCAAGCCTTGGCAACATGTGTTAACTCCAACGTCAGCTTATCGGACCAACTTACATACCTGTTAATGTTGAGACCGCAAGTAAATTATTCTCTTCACTTAAAGGTAACTGTCGACTTATCATGGCTATAGTACATAGGATGGCCCTGGCTGAATTTATTTATGTTGATTCTCAAATAAGATGCTCTATATAAATGTACGCCAAGTATAGGGAAGTGCCATGTTGTTGTCTGCACATTGTAAGAATAGTTCAGAATATTGGCTGATAATTACACCAGAAGAGGAATTAAGAGGGATGATGTTATGGTTGACATGAAAATGATGACATACTAGAAGATCCTAACTAGATTCATTTAGCGTTAGTTAACTTACAATTTTGTAGAGATCCCAGCGTGATGTGGGAGCACAAAAGTGTAAGGTACAAGACTATGACCATAAGTGGGACTAGATCATTAAAACAGATACTCGTCTGGGCTCTTGACCTTGTGTAGATATCTTAATTGTCCAAAGACCTTGGATTGGATATGCTGATGTGGAAATGATACAGTAACATGAAGTGTTCTAACTTGTCTGTTGTATTAAGAGTAAGTATCAGACGGTATGCTTATGTTTACTACTGATAGCCTATGACGACTATAAAAACAATAACCCCTGCACATCAACTCTAAATATAAAGCCCCTTTTCAGCTCCCTCAGAGCTGATTCTCATGAGTAACCACATATCTTGAAATCCTGTGTAATATATTACCCGATGAACAAATACACATTTAAGAACCCCGAGTTACATCATCATTGCGGGTAAGTAATGTGTGTTGGGTTAGGATTACCGGGAGGATGCGATGACTGAGCTTTGGTGAGCAGCGAAGAAGAATTCCCCGAAAATACTGTTGTACAAGCAGGTATGTACGAAATCTATTATATATAAATATAGAGGTTGAAGTGAAGTCATGTTCTATTCAACTTACTGCAGTGCAACCCTATTCACTTTATCTCTTCTACATTACTAGATAGTCCCTAAACAGCCTTCTTGCCCAAAATGTCTTCCTCAAGTTCTCTGTCTGAACTTACACAGCAACTTGTCAGCAAAGTTGAGAAAGTTGAAACCCTTACCCCTGAATCAACTGCCCAAGTTCTATTCCAGTTAGAAGGACAATCCCCAGAGCTCAAGAAAGCCCGCCGGGAGCTGCTCGAAATTACGCAGGAAATCCAGGTGCGAGCTAGAGGGCCCGCGGATCTTCTTGAGCAGTATCAAATTCAGGTACGAACTAAATATGCTTCTTATATCACCAGACCTGACGATATAAAGTTTGATTAAAGTATTTACTAATCATGCTCGCTCAATACAGTATAATGCCTTTTCCTGTCTCCGTTGGCTGCTTCACTTCGAGATCTTTACTCATGTTCCAACGGACTACAAGCCAGTTTCATACACATCCCTCGCCGCTCTTGCATCCGTGCCTCTCCCCCGTCTGCAATCCGTCGCACGGATGGCCATGACAGCGGGCCTATTCACCGAGCTGGATCCCACCCACATAGCGCATAGCCCGCTCTCCTTACGTTTCGCAACAGATGCGCTTCTCCGAGACTGGGCTATTTTCATAACGAAATACGGAGAGCCCGCGACCCAAGCCATGACCGAGGCGACGGAGAAGTGGGGTGACTCGAAAGCTTTGGATGAGACGGCGTGGAATGTATTTGGAGGCACGACAAAACCGTTCTTCGAGTATCTCAAGGACGTCCCGGGTATGGTTGACTTATTCAGCAGATATATGCAAAGTCAGGGGTTGAGCGAGGGGATGCGACTGGAACATGTTCTTGACGGGTTTGACTGGGCTACGTTAGATGCCAAGGCACACATCATCGATGTAAGTCCATTTATAATACGAAATCGGGTATCTCTAATGGTAATTCTACTCATAGGTTGGCGGATCAAACGGATTCGTATCCGTGGCTCTCGCAAAGTCCTATCCCGGATTCAAATTCACAGTCCAGGACCTCCCTGAGGCCGTTGAAGCATTATCTTCAACACTATCAGGACTCCCTGATACGATTACTTCCCGCATCCAGTTTAAAGCACATAGTTTCTTCGACCCTCAGCCTCCGCATCAGCCCGGTTCGTCTTCACCCGATGTGTACCTCCTACGAAAGATTCTACACGACTGGCCTGCAGCCCGCGCTCGCGAGATCCTCTGTCAACTAGCGATAGCTTTACGAGACGGAAAGAAGCTTAGCGCACGGATTATCATTATGGATATTATCCTACCTGCTCCCGGCACGATTGAGCGGACTCAGGAGGCTATGCTGCGCGTGCGAGATCTTTCCATGGCGCAAGCTTTCAACAGCCAAGAGAGAAATCTAACAGACTGGAAGGAGCTGTTCGAAAGCGCAGAACCGAAACTGCAATTAGTGAACTGGAAGCAGCCTCCGGGGAGTGCAATGGCTGTGATGGAAGTGGGCTTGGCTGAGTAGTATGGATTACTAAAATACCCCTAAAGCCTTGAAGTACATAGAGTAGGTAGGCTATATGTTTAAGAGTAAATGTGGATTTTATATTTTGTATGAGTTTGTCATCTAAGATCTTCTCCACTAACAATCGTCTATGAGATTATCAGATCGTACCTAAGCAAAGAAGATGGAAAAAAGATTGAAAAATAAGGGTTTGTTCGAAAGACAGAAATATAACTTTGAATTAGGAAATGAAATGAAACTATTGTGCAATCCGATCCTATTATTCGCGAAGCTTTTACCTGCCTTCTCGGGCACGTTTGGAAGTGAAAAGGAATCACTTGTTGACCGAGAAGAGCCTAAGACCGGTCTAGTACGTATTATATTTAGACCTGCGGCGTAGCGCGATGCGATTTTCCGGGGTTCCAACTATTGAAATTTATATGCACTCTCCCGTACACCGAGTATCTGAAATTAAATAGTGTTCGTGTGTGAAAAGTAGGACTCGATAATACTGTTAGTGATAGGCGTCAGTTGATCGATAGTTCCGTGTGTTCCGGTCACCGGCATTTAAAAAGGTCTTGGACGGGCAGTGATACAAACAGCTGAAATACATATTAAGATGGTTCAGTTGTGAGTTGTGCACGTTCCTTTTTATTGGTGGATTAAGTAAAAAGGTACCTTAGGTACTTGAAGAATGCACCTAGCGCTACCTAAGACGGCTAGGTCCGCATAGCGCATCCAGTTTATTTACGCCTTTTAACCTTAAATAAATCTTAAATCTTGGCAATTATTATTGTAGGTAAATATTGTACTTGATCTCTTTACCAAAGCAAAACATCACCAATAGTCGTGACGATCCTCACTCAAATATTATTAGAACTCGTCATCTCAGCACAATATGTAACAAACATATAAACATGTAATTTTGGCTTGGTATGGCGCAAAGCAAAATGTGACTACCCGTCTTTTCATCACATCTCAAAATACGTACGTATCGACAAGATTTCTCGTTCTCGTGTTGATGAGGTTTTCCACACGTCAAATGGCAATGGTTCTGTCTCTTTCCTGTCTAGAGCGTGCGTGCCTCACCTTGTATGCCTCGTATGTAGTATTCAAAGTGGAATGGATACTAACGTAACCTTATGATGCTTAGATCGGCGTAATGCAGCGTAGCATAAAATAAAATAGCTGGAGTTAATTTGGGGCGATTGATGCACTTTCGATGCCGGGCTGAATGAAGTCTGGGCTTAACTTAACCATGGACTGGACTTACCTATGTATTCGTCGTTACGGAAAACGCGAAATGTCGTGATCCGCCAAGTGACCTAAACTTGCCCTGTCTTACCATTTATAGGAATATACGGTAGGGATCATCTGCCAGGGGGCACGTTCAACTTGTTTTTGTCTACCCGCCTATACATATTTATACGAAAAAGGTTCTATTAGTTGCCTATAAAAGCCGGGCATTCCCATTGCCTTCCTCCTTCGCTTTGGTAGAGAAGAAGAGGTTATTCCTATTAGTTTCTTACGGTTCGGTAGGCTAGGTTTTAAGGAGTTCAAGGCGTCAACTATTAGCGATATCAAGCAACCATGAAGAATATATTTGCTTTAAGCGCTCTGCCGCTGCTCTCGCTTGCTGGAGCTACGTCTCTTAAGCCTCGCGATGGCCCGATTTACGATGCTATTATAATCGGGGTGGTCCATCAGGTCTAAGTGCTTTGAGCGGTCTCGCTCGAGTACGCAGGAATGTCCTGTTGATCGACTCGGGAGAGTATCGCAATGGACCAACGAGACACATGCACGACGTCATCGGCTTCGACGGTAAGTTACAGTCGCATGACCAGTGATAACCTCGTTAGTTTCTCGTAAGACTGACATCGGAATAGGAGTCACACCAGCGTACTACCGCTGGGCCGCTCGCCAGCAGATCTCTAAATACGAAACTGTATCGGCGGTCAACGGCACAGTCACCAACATCGAGCCGCTGAACAACAACACAGAGTTCAGCGTCGCAACGACTTTCCTCAACGGCACCGACGGCACCGTGAGCGCCAAGAAAATCATCCTCGCGACTGGCCTTCACGACCTCATACCCGATACCCCGGGCCTGCTGGAGAACTGGGGCAAGGGCATCTTCTGGTGCCCGTGGTGCGACGGACACGAGCACGCAGACCAGTCCCTCGGCCTCCTAGGCCCGCTAGAGGACGCCCCGGGTTTAGTACGCGAGATCTCGACGCTGAACTCGGACATCATCGCCTTCGTGAACGGCACCGACACACCAGAAGCGCGCGCCGCCACCGAGAAGAGCTTCCCGAACTGGGAGAAGTACCTACAGATCCACAACGTAACGGTCGAGAACCGGACCATCGCGCGCATCAACCGCCTCCGCGACGGCGGCGATCCGCCCGCGGACCCCAGTCTGCCGACAGCCCCCGAGTACGACTTATTCAGCGTCGACTTCACGGAAGGCGAATCCGTCGAGCGAGCCGCCTTCTTCACCAGCTTCCCCGACGAGCAGCGCTCCGACGTCGGCGAGAAGCTCGGCGTCACGCTGTACGGCGGCCGTCTCTCCGCCGACAACGCCAAGGGTCTGGCGACGAATATCCCCGGCGTATACGCCATCGGCGACGCCAACTCGGACAACGTGACGAACGTGCCGCACGCGCTTTTCACGGGAAAGCGAACTGCTGTCTACCTACATGGTAAGTTTTTTTTTCCCCTCCACCCTTAATATTCCCGTTTATCCTATCCTCGCTCGGAGCTTGTAATGAATGTACTGTCGTCGGTATGCTAACAACAAGGCAACAGTGCAACTTGCCCGCGAGGAGGCCGACAAGGAACTAGCAGGGAACGGAACCGCGGTGGCTCGCCGCGAGGAAGAGCTCAACCTGCGGTCCGTCTGGGAACAGATGAACCCCCGAGATCTCCTTTACGCTGGAGAATTCGACCAGTAATTACCTACCTACCTACCTAATGTTGTAATGCCATTTAGAGTGCGTGTATCTGTAATCTATCGTGGGAAGAGAAAAAGGAAGTATACGGAGTGAGAATTATGTATAAGAGGATATGATACCATTGTATAGAATATATGATAATACCTTATAATCTTGATCTCTGTTGAAAAGATTTTATGGATCAACACTTAAAAGCGTCTATCCCCTTGGCTGGCATAAGACAGCAACTCCATAACTTTCAGTATTAGTACATAAGGCTTAACGTCATTCATTAACATAATAGGAAAAGGCCTTATGATTAGTCTCTAAAACCGCAACCCACAAATATTATTGGTCGATTCAGTACCGCACGAGCGTTTCTTTCTTTTCTAGCCAATCCGTATGTATTGATACTGAAAATTATGGAGTTGCTGTCTTATGCCAGCCAAGGGGATAATAGGGGCTTAATTCTTTCTACGTTGCACTTGTTAAGCATCTTAAAATAAATTGCTCTGTAGACCTCAAGCCTATAATCAAGCATACTCTTCATTGCTTATAGCTACGAGATCGTTAGCCTCGCCTTTGGTCATACAGCGTATCTCGCATTCATATTGCGTTCCCTTCACCTTTCACCCTTCACCCTTCATACGTAGTCCCTCTCCATACAGCAAGTCCTAATCCCTAAACCAAACCCTCCACTCAAACCTCAAAAACCTCACCAGCACCATATCCCCCACTACCTCTTCTAGAATCCACAAGATCCAGCCTCCACCCCTCCCAATTCTTCAACCCACGCTTAAGTTCTCGCACTCGCTCAAGCCTCCTCTTGGCATCTTCCTGCTGCGCCTTTAAGAATGCCTCCTCGTCGAACTCCATGTCGGCGTCGTCATCTAGGAACCCCTCGTTATCGGCTTTTTCGTCGGCCGGAGTACCACCCGTTAAAGCATTGATACCGCTCGCGAAGAAATCACCAATGCCCCTGTTCCCGGCCTTGCGCGCCGCACCCGCCCCACCTAAGTCGATGTTCGTGAAGCCCCCGCCGCTGGGACTTAATAGGGCGGGGTCGTCGGGGCCGTGCTCCATTTCTTTGCGTCGCTGGTGCCAGATTCCGCGGCGCAGGTCGTAGACTTCGCTCTCGAGGTCGCGGATCTTCTTCTCCATGCGCTGGCGTTCCTCGTCTTCTAGCTCATCGACTCCGTCATCATCACCACCACCTTCCGCAGCGTCCTTCTTGCGTAGACGCGCATTCTCGGACTCTAGCTTCTCGATCTTGGACTTAGCATCTTGCGCCTCCTTCTCCGCGCGTTCCTTGTCTTTGCGTAAGGCCTGCGACCGGCTGTCGTTTTCTTTGTGTAAGGTGCCTAGAGCTGTGACCTTCTTTTCTAGCGCATCTACCTTCTTCTCAAGCTCTGCTTTTTCTCCCTTCAAATCTTCGACTTCATGCTCGAGAGTACGCAGTTTTGTCTCTGCACTCGTACGCTCGCTGCCTTCCTTTACGACGCGCTCAGTTGTGCGTTCTAGATTCCGTTTGAGGTCGGCGAGCTCACGCTGCGCCTTCATAGCAGCCTGCTCGGAACGTGCTAGCTTCTCTTCCAGAGCTGTGATTTGTTCGCGGTCGGTACCACCCGCGGAAGCTTGTCGTTCAGCTTGGGCGCGTAGGCGAGAGATCTCTAGCTCCATGGTTTCTATGGTGGAGGATTTTGAGGCAAGCTGGGCTTGTAGTTCCGCCGGGGGAGAGGACATGGAAATAGAAGGCGACGAGCCATGACGCTTCGAAGCGGCAGATTGGAGCTGCGAGTTCTGACGTTGGAGGGCGGCGATCTCTGATTTCTACAAGTATAATAAGTTAGCTTGCGATATAAACAATATAGACGAGATGAATGAATATAAGAATATTTCCGTACCAGCTTCTCGACTTGGCTATCCGAACCATCGCGATCGGCTTCCCGCAGATCAGCGAGCTCTTCTTCGGCTTTCTGCCATCGCTTTTCCGCGTCGCCGGCCTCTTTTGCGAGCCTCTTGTTTTCTTTCTCTAAGTCATCTATGCGCGCTACTTGCTTTCGGTATATATCAGGCGCCGTCTCGCCTTCGGGACTCAATGGAAATCCGGTAGGTGATACCGTGCCTTGGCGGAATGACGAAGATCGAAGTTTGGACTGGTGAGATAACGAGGTTGCGCTGGGTGTCGTAGGAGAACCAAGTGGCTCTGCAGGTGCATCTTCAACAGCAGGCCCATCTACGAGAGTTGTTTCGGACTTCGATTCGGTAGTAGTATGTTCTTCTTTATCCTTTTCTTTGTCTTGTTGTTTTGAAGCCCCTCCTTTCTTAGCCATCTGCTTCTTCCTCTGTTCGAGCTGTAGAACTTTGGTTTTAGTATCTAATTGGCTATCAAGTGAGGCTCTCGTGTACAGTATCAACTCATACCTTCTTCTTTGCCGCAGCAAGCTTCTCGGCCTTGGCTTTCTCCTCGTCAGCCATTTTGTCCTGACTTTAAGTATGTCTGTCCTAGGTAATTCTAAGTTGTTCAAGATTCGGTGATGCGCGTTCTATAAATCAACCTGTTATAATATGTGTATAGTAAGAATTACGGGTTGAGCGACTATTCACGGTTGAATGTTTGACGGAGGTACGGCTTAACGGGCTTAGGTGTCCAGAAGACGGTTAACCGCCCTGGACTCGAGCTCGTTTACGTTTGCGATGGCGCTAATAGACCGTGCTGCACGAGCCACACAGGTATGTACATACAGCTAAAACGGTGTACATGCTGCCAAGTACCGTTTATACGTCAGAAGGAAATGCCGTAACTAACCTAAATAAACATAAACTAGCAATTACCTTAAATACTATGACATTTATATATAGATAGAATACTTATCCTTAACAACTTCCAATTGGATTTTATATCTATTTGGAACAATATATAACAATAATTTTCCATGTATAAGAGGTTATGCTTCAGCACGATGACCCAATATCTGCCACGTTCGAGACGGTTTGCTCCTCTTACGGAGCTTGTAGCTGGCCAGCATCATGACTTGCCCAAGTTACACGGAGTGATATTCGATGTTGACGGGACTCTCTGGTGAGTGATCAATATGAATAAACTTAGCACATACTATACACATTTGTAAAATGAAAGTCAGGAGAAAGTACATCTCAACCATATCCATGGAGCTAGCAGTGAGAACATCCAGACTCATGATCCTTACATTTTCACATAAGAAAATCTACTATTATGAAACCCTCATGACTATTAAGTCTCAAGAAGCAGAATTCTTAAACATATAAGTCGATATATAAGCCTATGACCTTGATTGGGCCAACAAGAAGAATATCTCACAACACATACACACCCATCCCACAACCCCTATAAACGAGATCCCACTAACAACCCTCCAGCCTCCCCCAAAACCACATGTTCTCCGAAATGCGCGCCGCCCTGCAAATCCCCAAGCACATCGACATCCTCGAGCACATATACTCGCTCCCCACAACCTCCCAGCAAGAAACCGCCATGGAATCCATCCGCGCCATCGAGCGGCAGTCCATGACGGCCCAAGTCGCGCAGCCGGGACTAGCCGAGCTAATGGCGTACCTGGACTCGCGGAACATCCGCAAGGGGATCTGCACGCGCAACTTCGAGACGCCCGTCTCGCATCTGCTCAGCAAATTTCTGGCCGGCCATGTCTTCCACCCGGTCGTCACGCGCGACTTCCGCCCGCCGAAGCCGGATCCCGCGGGCCTGCTGTATATAGCGCGGAGCTGGGGGCTCGTGCGGGCTGTGGAGGGGCCGGGGGATGAGGGTAAGGTGAGGGCGGTGCTGGAGGAGGAGAGTGCTGGTAGTAGTGCGCGGGAGAAGGAGGGTGCGGTGGGGCGTGACGGTGGGGAGTTGAGTGAGGTGGGTGATGCGTCGGGATTGATCATGGTGGGCGACTCCATCGATGATATGACGGCTGGGCGACGTGCCGGTGCTGCTACGGTGTTGCTTGTTAATGATGTGAATAGCCATCTGGCTGACCATGAACACACTGACCTAGTGATTGAACGGCTGGACGACTTGGTTCAAGTGCTAGACTACGGCTTTGTGGGCAGGGAAATACATCAGGACCCCTAGCTTGGGGTTTATAAACGACGGTGTGAATAGCCTCAAATGTCACAAGATGATCTTACCACAGTGTCCGAATATAGGCTATTTATAGAATATCATGGATGTATGAACGCGACTCATTGGGCGACAAACTTCCCTTTAGCTATTACCTTAACTTGCTACTTACCATCGTGTGAGATAATTCTGAAAATAAAATATAAATATGATTCATAATTCGGTATCAAATATGTTGGCTAAATGTTATCAATCACGCATAATTCAAAGGTCAAAACTACCATGATATCTTGTCGCATTTGTACTAATGGCCACACACTTCACTCAACAGAATCGTTAACTACACCAAGTAGTTGACGATTTATAGCTTCCCCCTTCGAGATCGTTTCTTTTCGCTTTCGTATACCTCTCCCTAAAATGTCCGAGATAGTCTCTTTCGCTAAGGGGCATGCCGGGAGGCGTACCCGAGATGTAATGTTTTTGTGTATGAGGGGTTGTTGATGTCAATACACAGTTATGCTGGGCGAATACGGACGCTTGACGGCTATGTTGCTCCGCACTCCGAAGCCGAACCATAGATGGCCTACATAGCATGACAAAGCGGTTATAATGGTAGATATGATACCACTGATTTTATCGTGATGAATACCCGGCACTTCCATAGCTCCCGTTCGACGGAGGAATGAATGTTGCTTGCCGTCTATTCTCTTTCCGTAGTTCATCCGGAGTCTCTTTCCTTGGGGGAGGGGGTGGCAACGGCCCACCAGGTGGTGCAGGTCTAACTGGTAGTGTGAATGATGTTCCCATACTAGCACTGGCCGGCTGCGAGAGATCTGCAGTTGTAATCTTAGGTATTGACCCGGACGTTGCGGCTCGTTGCCCCAATCCTGGATGCACAGCGGAACCGGAAGACCGCCCAAGGCTTCCCACGCCGTTTCTTGTAGGTGATCGGTTCTGCGAGTGGCCGTGATCTCTCGGCGAAGCAATGGCGCCCACGATGGGGATCTCGCCGGAAGTTGGTGTTAAGCGGCATTGCCGTCATTTTGGAAGGTAGGGGACTCGCTTGATCGTAAGAGGTCCCGAGTAGCTGGCGAAAGTTGAGGAACCAAATGCGATTTACGGTTGTCTTTCTCCATAAGTCCGACAGCCCATGCTCTCAAATCCACCGGTGTCCGCTTAGCTGCTTGAACAAATGGATCTCGGTCCTATATAAGATTAGTATAGACATTCGATATACTTTGTTTCGAGTGTTGCTTACCCATAACTCCTGAGGTGTCGGCCGCTCATCTGGTATTTTTGACAAGCATTTTTGAACCATATCTTCTAATATTGACGGGAATGCGTCGCTTTTTGGAAGTTTTGGGGCGGGCTCGTGAACAATTTGTTGGAGGAGATCCAAGATACCGGCCGGCGCCCCATCGTCATCTGATAGTTGTTCACTCGCAAATGGGAATTTGCCAATAGCTAACTCCATTATACTCAGACCAAAACTCCATACGTCCGACTTGACCGTGTACTTCTCGCCCTGGATTCGCTCCGGGGCCATGTAAGTCGAAGTACCCACGAATGTATCGGCGATAGAGTTGACTAGTTCTCCTGATACACCAAAATCGCAGAGCTTGATGTGACCCCGAGAATTCACGAGGATGTTAGAGGGCTTAATGTCTCGATGCATGATGTGTAGTTTCGAGTATAGATAGGTTAAACCACCCAGAGTCGCCTCTGCAATTTTACCAAGCACGTCTACACACGAATCGGTCCAAAATGGCGCGAGACTCTGTCGAGAGATCTGTAGACGCCCGGTTAGGTCTATGTAACACTTTCGGACTCTTTTTATATGTATCCCACTTACCCAACATCCATATATTCCATACACATAATGAGACATCGTTATGTTCGTTTAGGAAAGCGCCGTAGAAAGTCACGATGTAATCGGAGTGGCAACCGTGCATGATTTGTAGCTCGCGCACAATTCGCTTCCTGAGTTCTTTTTTAGCTTCGACATGAATTACCTAACGTCGGCCATGATTAGTATCCGCATTCCGGATTATATTAATGAAGATGTTTACCTTTCGAGCCATTGTAGTTCCAGTAGGTAAATGCTTCACTTTACTGACGGTACCTCCATTTCCCGAACCAAGCTCTTTCACAATCTCGATATCCTCTTGTCGAAGGTCCAGATTAAACTCAATTCCAATCTCGAGCTGTGCTTCTTGGCCTACCTCATCGGCTCTCGATCCGCCAAAGCCCCAACCGGACTGATTGTCATTGTTCGATGCCGCAGGTTGCTTCGGGGGGCGGGGGTTAATGCTAAGCCTTTGACGTTCTTGCGCTTCATAGAGCGCGGGGCAAATGCGTCGGTCATGATGTATAAACCCGAGGGTACTTGGTGATGTTTAAGATTCGAGAAGCGGGAACTTGCACGTTATGCAAGACCGATTAAGAAGATTATTTCGAACCGGCGCGGATCGCAAATGGCTAAGCAATTTGCATGTCCACCGGCAAACGCCCGGGTATTGGATTTATTTCGAACTAATACGCGGCGTCTATGTGTAGCGCGTATATTTCTGCCCCTCACACGGACCCCGAAAATATCGAAGTTGGAAATTGGATTAAGATCTGACGGAGAAACTCTCGTATTTTTCTTTTTTTCAGGAGTAGCGACGGTGTCAGTTGTACAACCCTGTCTGCACTGTTGTGCAATGCACCGATAAAGGGTCCTAGGGTACGTAGCAGCTTGAAGACTGACAATAAGTATTTCGAGTCAGCAAATTAAATGGTTAGGCGTTGTGGAAGGGGAAGTGTGCAGGAAGATGCAGCTGCGTAGGGGGAAGTACGAAGACGCATGTAAGAGAGGTAGTAATAGCGGTGCAGCGGTGCAGCGGTAGTAGTGGTATTAGTGGTAGTATTATAGTGTTATCAAGTACATGTAGGTAAGTGGTGCCCGGGCTAGGATAACAGGATACCTAAAGTACTAAGTTCTAGTGGGACCCGGCCGATTTTACCGATCCTACCGACCAAAAAGAATTAAGTGCTAGGTATTCGAAGTACCTACTTAGTACCTTGTATTGTATGTAGTAGTAGTAGTAGTAGGTAGATCTAATAATACATATACCAACTAAGGTAAGGTGATGTCGGCGTATGGTAGAACTTGTTTAGTCTTTTGTTGGGCATCGAGAAGGGGGATATCCAAAAATTGGATGGTAGATATTGTGAAGAGCGAAATCCACTCAGATAAAGTACAGCTGGTGGCAATTTTAACAGGCCATGATAATGTAATTGCTAAGAACAAACCTATCAACTCAAGTTGTATAACTAACAGGTAGTTATAATTCTTGAGTTTTCGGTACATGCATGTAGGTTATGTGTCAAAGTGGAATCATGATGAGTGGAATTGATATGTCGGTGTATGTGGATAAGAGGGAGCCCAATATGACGGATATTTCTTGATATCATACAGAAAAACAAAGAAACGAGGATACTTACTTCGTTTAGATGAATCGAAAATTGTAAGCTGTAAAAATTTGTCTTGTATGCTATGGCCCTAATAGACAACAATGAGAAGAGATTAACTATATCTAACACAGGTTTAGTTGTTAGTTGCAGTTGAACTAGGTTTGCATACAGAAAAATCAATAAAATTCCATATGCAGTTGAGACTTACCAAAAAACGAAGCTGATTGGTCTTTAGCTATAACCGCATATAGGAGAAAAGCTGCAGGTAATATTGAAAACCGTCCTATGTAGGCGATCACCAGAGAAGACAAGAGTAGGAATCAAGCTAGATAAGTGTCTTGAGTGGATGGACTTTAGAAGCATTATGTGTTTGTGTTTAGCACAAAGGGGTAATAAGAGCACACCACAACGGATCAATCATGTTATGTAGGGGATTTTGATATTTGAAACCACATCGTCATGCTTGGTTCAAAGCGTCTACAGATGTAATATAAGTGGAAGACTTCGAGAGGGATAGTGGTTCTTATTGAAGTTGATTATGGTTAGAGGCGTTTATTTCCACTAATAAAGGGTCTTGTGTAGATACTACTTACATAGTTAGCTATGAATTAGTACAAGAAGTAAGTATTAAATACCTAGAATAAGGGGTTAGCGGGGACCGCGGGGCTCGACCTCGCTCATGTAAGGATGTATGTACCCAACAATACCTGATGGCATCATGTACGACCAGACCACCACCTGCAGTGAGCGGCCACATGCATCTTATTCTACCCACATTATATATAAAGGTGCCTAATCTACATACATAAAATGCCATAAGTAGCCATAAGTAGCATTGATAATGGATTTATTTAACAAAATGGGAATCATCTTATGGAGTGCGTTACTAAAATCGATAGCTCAAGTTACGGATATAATATAATATATTCGTTAGGTAGGTATTTTAGAGCAGCTCTAGTCAGCCGTAAAGCCTGACCTACTGCCTAATGTAGCCTAAACCTTACACCCAAAAGACTCTTGCCACCCCCTTTTTCCTTTAGTATAACATAGGTAGGTAGGGTAGGTATCTTCACATACCTCACCTACACTACATATCATGCTATGATCAAAATATATTCACCTAAAAAAGTCCCCCTCCATTCGTATCCTTCTCATCTACTCCATACACAAGATTTTGGGGGCTGATGCATCCTCCTAGTCTGGCACATGTCCATCTACCCCTGACAGCTCCAGATTCGGCTATGGCCCCTACTCGTTAGGTGTCACGGTCTTGACCATTTTGGTGCATCATATCGAATGACAGCTGTGATTGGACAGCCGGCCCTCAATCGATACCATAGTCTCTTGGCTTTATCAGTCAGAGCCATAAATTACATATCTGTAGAATATCTCGATCTAAAAGCGCCTAGCTATTTATTTTTGCAGCACCTATGTTTTATATACAGATTTCTTGTGTCTCAAGACATCGTATAGAGAGCAAGTGACGTGAGCTCAATTTTAATAAGTGAGGATGTCGGCTTGGTAGTCTTAAGCAACCTCTTTTACGCACTTGTGCACTATATCATACCTAGGACCTAGGTAGCATAGGTTTATAGTTAAATCCATTTTGCTATGATGTATGCTTTAAATAAAGCACCTCAATGTCATAAGCCTCAAGGGCAGCCTATTCTAGATGCCCTTCTAGAAGAGCATCTCTCATCGAGGCTATCATTATATGTAGGGTACTTAGGTACTTATGCATACCTTTGTACCTATGTACATGCAGATATGGAAGTTAGGTCTTATCGATAAAGCACAAGCCTCATTAATATTTACTCACGTGATTCGTGTGGCTTATCATGTCTCCACCTAAAAGTTTGACCAATCCGATGCTCAGGCACTTTGTCCAATCGCGAGGCTAGCGGTCGACGCGATCTAAATTTCTAGCTTCCCAAGGCTTAAGAGTTTAACTTGAGCTCGGTCACCCTAATAATTACGTCCTTTACGTCCTTCTTACCTTCCCATAAATCTGTACACTTCGGGTTGGAATTAGTAGCGCGATTCTTTTTGGTTCTGAGTTGCCTACAATTCCAATCCATCAACTTTATTTAGTACAAACTATTTCCTACCCTTTCAAACCATAGAACCGCGCTTACCTCCTTTCCACCGCCTACCGCCTACCGCGGACCCGTCAATATGAGTAATTCAATGAGAGACTTGATTTCGGCGCGAGGCCGAACTCGATGACGAAGAAGATGATGAATCCTTTGACGAAGAGACCGGCGAGACTCAACAAAGATCACGAAATCGAGGCCAGGAAATGGATGATTCGAGCGAAGAGGATGAAGATGATGATGACGAAGAGGAAGCACGAAAGGTAATCTACAATCTTGATCCAGTCTACTGCTAGAACAGTAGCTGTTAGTTACAGATAGCTAACTACGTTTTAACAGATCCGTGAGGGCTTCATTGTCGACGAGGATGAAGATGAAGATGAAGACATGGTCGAAGATGAGGACGAACGGCGCAAACGAAGAAAGCGCAAGCGCCGACAGGAGCGTGAAGAGGAAGCTCAATTAGACGAAGAGGATCTTGATCTAATCGGCGAGAACATTCCCGAATGGGAACGTAAGCAGCCTTCACAGGTATGATACACTACATAAAGATACAGCTGTCTTATTCTAACCTATACAAACAGGGTAAATTTAAGAGACTCAAGCGTGGCCACCGTGATGATGATACCCGTGGAAATGAGCGACGCGGCCTCGACGATATGTTCTCCGATGAAGACGATGAGGTTGTCGATGAGCATCCATACGCGCGACCCAGTCATCGCGCCACCGCGGGCGAGTTTGATGATTTTATTGAGGAGGATTTCCCTGAAGATGAGGACGAACGCATGCGCCAGATGGAGGATATGGAAGTTGCTCGTCCGCGAGATAAAGGCATAGCGGGACGAATCGTCGACCGGGCTGGACTGGATAAAGACGCTCTTGAGGACATGGAAGCTATCTTCGGAAACGGAGAGGACTACCAATGGGCCTTAGACGAAGAAGAGGAAGAAGAGGAGCGTCAGAGAGAAGAGCAGACTCTTGAACTGAAGGATGTGTTTGAGCCCTCGCAATTGGCGGAGAAGCTTCTGACCGACGAAGATAACGCCATTCGTTTTACAGACGAACCCGAACGATTTCAGCTCGACCGCAAACCCTTCAAGCATCTCAATATTCAGGGTGAACAGTTCAAGGACGAAATTCAGTGGATAGCCGATCTGATGTGGCCAAAAAAGCAACTGTCTAGCGACTTGCATAGTCCTTTTCAGAAGGCCGTCGGTAAAGTGCTTGAATATTTCGTTCTTGAGGATCTTGAGGTGCCCTACGTTTTTCAACATCGCAAAGACTACCTCATCCATGCTCGGAAAACTCGAAATCCCGACCATCGTGATGACCCCGAAGCGCCAGAGTACATTGTTAACGCTGAGAAGCTTCTTACGCAAGACGACCTCTGGCGTATACTTGAATTGGATATCAAGTACCGATCCCTTTACGAGAAGCGCGGCGTCCTTGAAAAGACCTGTGATAATCTACGAGAAGTCACGCAGGTGAACGACGATATGATCCCAGAAATGCTAAGTCAAGCTGTGACGATGGAAGAGCTTCAAGACCTACAGGATTATATTAACTTCCAATACGCCTCGCAACTAAAGGACATCGCTGCCATGAACGGTGTGGTTAAGGGGACTAAACGTCCTGGCGCAAAGTCATCCGTTTTCGAACGCGTCCGCAAAAGTAATGCCTACAAGTTTGTCAAGGCTTACGGCATCTCTCCTGACAGGCTAGCACAGAACGCTCTCCGTGAAGGTAAGAAAATAATCGCAGACGACGAGCAAAACTTGCCAATCGATCTCGCGGATCGCCTCACGGATAGCGATTTCCCTACCGGTGACCAAGTTCTCTACCAGGCAAGGCACATGTATGCCGAGGAGCTATTCATGAGCCCGAGGATGCGAAAACATTTCAGACAGAATTTTTACATGATGGGTGAGATCAGCTGCTTTCGAACGGAAAAGGGACTTCGAAGGATTGATGAGTCTCATCCTTATTACGAGATAAAGTACCTTATCAACCAGACAATTAGTGACCTCGCACGTCGACCAGAACTCTTCTTAAAGATGATGAAGGCAGAAGAGGAAGGGTTGATTGAGGTCAGACTCCGACTCCAGAACGAGAAAGAGTTCCGGCGCCAGCTGCAGGCGGAATTTGTTTCAGATAACTACAGCGAACTTGCAGATGCTTGGAACGAGGAACGTAAAAAGGTCCTCGATATTGCATTCACTAAGCTTGAGAGGGTAATAGCCAAGGGAGTCAAGGACTCGTTGCGAACAGCATGCCAGGAAGAGCTCCTTAAGCTGTGCCGCGAGGAATACTCTAAGCGACTTGATCAAGCTCCCTACAAGCCAAAGGGCATGGTATTGGGTACTACCCCGCGTGTCCTCGCCTTGTCAAACGGCATGGGCGATCCAGCTCGAGACCCTGTTTTCTGGGTCTGGGTTGAAGAAGATGGACGGGTCATTGAGCACGGCAAATTTGGAAACCTTGCTCGCGACGAATCGCAGCGCGAAGCCTTCGTCGAACTAGTTGAACGTAGAAAACCAGACGTAATTGGCGTTAGTGGTTTCTCGACCGATACCCATCGATTAGTTCGTGATGTGGAAAGTCTAGTAAACGAGAAAAATCTTACAGGACCCGAATTCCCAGATCCGGATTCCGACGACTACCGCAGCGAGTTATTAGAGGTCGTAGTTGTTAACGATGAAGTCGCAAGGCTCTACAAAGATAGCCCTCGGGCACAGGCTGATCACCCGACATTGACATCTAACACGCGGTACTGTGTCGCTCTAGCCAGATATCTTCAAAATCCTATGAAGGAGTATGCAGCCCTCGGAAAGGATATTACCTCTCTGTTATTCAATCCTTGCCAACATCTACTTCCACCAGAGAAGTTACTGAAACATCTTGAGACGTCGATGGTGGACATGGTAAATCTTTGTGGTGTTGATGTTAACGAGGCTGTTGGTGATGCATATACAGCCAACCTACTTCCGTACATCGCAGGTCTAGGTCCCCGCAAGGCCACAAGTGTCATCAAAGCTATCAACACTAACGGTGGTGTTGTAAACTCAAGGGACGAACTTGTTGGCGACCCGGATAACAACAAGCTCCCAGTGGTTGGCCCTCGAGTCTGGAATAACTGCGCTAGTTTCCTTTATATCGAATATGATGCTACGAATCCCTCATCAGAGCCGCTAGATAACACACGTGTTCATCCTGAAGATTACGAACTCGGTCGCAAAATGGCAGCAGACGCCCTCGAGTTGGATGAAGAGGATGTGAAAGCCGAGACTGACGAAAACGGCGCCGGCGCGATAGTCCGCAAGCTTTTCCGAGAGGACGAGCAGGAGAAGGTTAACGAGCTTATTTTGGAAGAATATGCCGAACAGCTAGAGAAGAACTATAACCAACGGAAACGGGCCACTCTAGAAACCATCAGGGCAGAATTACAGGCACCATACGAAGAACTCCGTCGGAATTTTAGCCCGCTGACTCCCGACCAAGTATTCGTCATGTTCACGGGCGAAACCAAGGAGTCACTGGCAGAAGGCATGATCATCTCGGTTAATTTACGGGTGGTCAAGGACGATTTCGCTATTGCCAAGCTCGATTGCGGTATTGAAGGCCGAATTGAATCCCACGAGGTTCAGTCACAGAAGTAATGTATCGATTAGGGATGTTATCCACGTCAATCAGACTGTTCAAGCCAAGATTGTGGATCTCAACCGTAAAGAATTCCTTGCGAAGCTCACCTTGCGTGAAGACGCACTTCGGCGACCTTACAAGAAACATAACGACCACGATCGTGGTACTTGGGATTTTAGATTGGAAGACGACGATAAGGATGCACTACGAGAGAAGGATAAGACAACGGGTCGCACGCAGCGAGTGATCAAGCATCCGTTGTTCAAGCCGTTCAACTCTACACAGGCAGAAGAGTTTCTGGGTTCTCAGTCGTCGGGCGACGTAGTTATCCGACCATCTTCAAAGGGTAACGATCATCTCACGGTCACCTGGAAGGTCGCAGATGGAGTCTATCAGCACATCGATGTCCTTGAACTACAGAAAGAGACCGAGTTCTCAGTTGGGAAGACGCTTCGTATTGGCGGTAAATATACGTATACGGATCTTGACGAACTGATCGTGGACCATGTCAAAGCAATGGCAAAGAAAGTCGACGAAATGATGGGCCACGAGAAGTTCAAGAAGGGTAGCGTCGCAGATGCCGGTAAGTTTCCTCGATACTTTCCTATAATTGAATTATACTAATTCCAACATAGAAAAATGGTTGACATCATACTCGGATGCTAATCCGAACCGCTCGATCTACTTATTCTGCATCAATCCCAAACGTGCTGGATATTTCTATTTATGCTTTAAGGCAAGCAAGACTTCGCGAATCAATATGTGGGACGTAAAAGTTGTACCCCACGCGTTTGAGATGATGGGATCTCAATATCCGCACATGCTTGCTCTCTGCAACGGCTTCAAGCTTAGATTCAACAGTGAGATCAGCAGACTGCAGCAGATGAGAAGATGAAGGAACTGTTAATAGGTACTTTACTATTCATCTGCATGTATCACTAGGGCGTTGGTTTGGCAGATTAGCTACGTTTTACTGACAAGGATAATGGCAGCCGCATAGAACTCCGGATAGGCTGATGGAGTCGGAGTATTTAAACTGCAAAACACCCTACGACATTCGTATCTTGTAGTTGGGTAAAGCAGCTTCATATTTAGGTACTTAATTGATGCGAGAAGTCAAAAAAAAAAATATTTCCATTACATACCAACGCACATGTTCTCGTGAGTGGAAGGTAAGTAGAAATCGAGAACATTTCGAAGTTGGTTTGCGTCATGATAATATTTTCGGTTACCAAATTATGTCATATTTGGGTTGCGTTGCATCTATAAAAATGTGATAAGCATGTATGTATGAATCGTATCTTCAGCCTCAGCTCTGTTACTAAAATAGTAACTAGGATAGTCATCCTACGAAGCTCCGTAAACTCCATCAAGTTAGTATTATGTAAGATGCGGTAATTACCTTAAACCAATTAAAAGACAACCCGGCGTTAGGCGGTTGATCTTCAAGGAAGACATGACCTTTTGAACCAATAGGAAACCCTCCGATTTCAAAAGGGGCAATCTGATAAAACTTCAAATAATGACTTAATCCTTCCGAACTTTAATAATCCTTCGAAACTTTAATAATCCTATCGACGGTTAGATAGACTTGTCAGACTTTAATACTCTCTTGTAAGATATACTATACTCCTTTGAGAGTTCGATACTCCTTGTAGAGTTTATTGCTCCTTTCGGAAACACTCCTTTCAGACCTGAACAAATACTCCTAAGGATAGCTCTTTATAATAGCCAGCTTTCAGCATACTGTTCTATCCCTGAACATGTTAGTCCAAGTTAGCTCAAGTTATTGATCACTTTTCATATCCTTAGTACTGTGCCACCGGGTATGTCAAGTCAGCATAACATAGATAGTAAGAACCCAAACTATCACTTAACACGGTACTTTTTTGTTGGACAACTGCTAAAGCATGAGTCAGTTTCGATAGTGTATACTCTTTCTTGACTCACTCCTTACGTTGGCTCTTTTTCGTCTAACATGTCAAAGAGCAAGCGCTAACAAGTTCCTGAGATCATAATGTTCGAAAAGACTCGAATCTCGTACCCATATATAGTAACTTATACAATGAAGCACATCTCAGTATCTAAGTTACTTAATTCTTGTAACTTGTTGCGAAAATAATGTGTCACTTGACTGACAGTAAGCAAGCTCCCTGTTATCTATGTAGGACATTTTGCCGACCTTACTGTCGTTCATCAACTTAATAGGAAAGGTGCTTACGATGGATTTTTACGATCGAAAAGATGACGAATATGACTGGCTAACCGAATTTCGCACGAACCGCTTAGACCTTCTAGGCCAAGCCTCACTATACTGGATTTTAGACAAGAGATTTGCCTAGTTTGAGATTCCCGCATATGGAAAAAGCAAAATACCTCGTACTCCGCCACGGCCCTGTTGATCGATCGCATGCTTTAGTCCCGGGGATGTGGGGTTACAACTTCAACACCCGGTGGCGTAAGGGGCCGGCCGCGCTGACGTATTACTGAAGGGAGATAAATGATAACATGGATCCCCGGTCTATGATGATATCTACAGCCTCGATTCGTCCTAGAATACTATCACGAAAACATAACCAGCCTAGATGGAGAGATGTATAATGCACTCTAATCTAAGACACCCTTAAACTGACTAGGTGCTTCTTTGTAGCACATTGTATATGCACACAAGAGACTAGCACTTCCAATAGCAACTCCGGGATGACTATTGCCGGCACAAATCCCGGAGATGCTTTCGTGCTTGTCGAGCGTCATACAAGATACAAAAGATCCTTAACGATCAAGGAAGTTTCAAGTGCGAGCGCCCCACCTCGCTGACAATTGGATGATGAAGGTTAATAGCTATATCGTCCAAGCGTTTTTCGGAAAGATGCCGGGGGACGGCGCAGGTGGGACGGGTGGGAGAAAACGGTAATTTCTCTAAGACCAAGTGCGGATTACCCCATGTGCGTCAGCTTCAGATAGTCTTTCGGAACCGGGATGACCCTTCTAAGGAACAAGGTAAAGAAGACCAGCAACGATGGATAGTATCACATATCAGGTACTTTGGCGTCAGTGGCTTGCATTTGGACCGTTTGACATGCCGATCATTGGTTCGTTAACACGATCTCCCGCAGCTTAAGGATTCGGAGGATTTGGTAGAATAAACCATGTCGACGCTGACTGCATCACGATGGGTGAGGTCAGCCTTCACCGCGAGTTTACTTTGGCGAGATGTAAGCACTTTGAGATTCGTGGTACCGACATGCCGGATTTTAGATATGGCAGTTTCATAAACGCCGTTTCGAAAACGCCGTTTCGAGTCGTCATATAATCAGAAGAAGTGATATATAAATATGCTCGAGGACGCCCATATAGTATACATGAAATTCCAAGCCATAGCATTGTGTTATAGCAATACTATATAATATTATAATATTATATTCATTTTGCTCACTTACTAGAGAAGAGAAAATGGCTATCGCCATCTGGAATACCCGAGATGTCATCTCGCTGTTCCAGCAATATGGCACCGCCTTACTAGCCGCAACCTTCAGCGCTTGGTTTTGTTATATGATATCCCTCGTCATCTACCGCTTATACCTAAGTCCCTTGGCTAAATTCCCCGGTCCGAAGCTTGCCGCGCTCACATCATGGTATGAAATCTACTATAACATCTTCAAGAAGGGTGGCGGGCAGTATATCTTCAAGATCAAGCAGATGCATGAGAAATATGGTAAGTCAACCTATACACATCAAGATATTACGACACTAATAATTATGGAATTAAGGTCCTATCGTACGGATAAACCCGTTTGAGCTCCATGTGGACGACCCAGCATACTTCGATGTCGTATACGCGACAAACAAGCAGTTCGACAAGGTCGAGATGTTTGCCCGTAGCATCGGCGCACCGCTCGCTGCTTTCGGAACCATCGAAGCCGGCAAGCATCGTCAACGCCGTGGTGCCATGGCCGCCTTCTATAGTCGTGCCAGATCACGGGACCACGGCCACCGAGTCCAGATGGTTGTCGATCGTATCTCTCGTCGTTTCTCTACTGAATATGCTGGTACCGGAAAAGTTGTTAACCTCTCCCGTATGGGGATCTCTATCAAGCGACGTCATCATGGAAGTGGCTTTTGCTCGACCCAAGCTATTTACCGATGCCCCTGACTTCAAGAGTTCCTTGGCGATAGGGCTGTCGGATCTGCTATACACTAGTCACACTTTCATGCATTTTAGCACTATACAATACTTGGTATCCGCATTACCGGGATGGCTTGTTAAGACGATTGTGCCGCCAATCAAGTCTGTCGTCGAAGCTCAGGAGGTAAGACATTATGCACCACATTACGGGACCAGCCCCATTACAAGATCTAGGCCAAGAGAACTCAAACTGACTCCCACAATAGGAAATTGGAAGCCAAGTAGCCGATATGGTCGGAGGCCGAAACGCCGAAGCAAAGGAGTCTCCTCTCCCTACCCTTTACCGCGACATTCTCACATCTCGATTACCACCTGAGGAGTTAACCTACCAAAGACTACGTGATGAGGCTATTTCTACCATTGCCGCCGGAATTGATACTACCAAGTGGTCCTTGAGCGTTGCCTGCTATCACATCCTAGCCAACCCTGAGGTTGAGCGACGCCTCCGAGCTGAGCTCAAGAGAGAATCCCTGACCCCAATCAAATTCCCGATTGGTTCGAGCTCGAAACATTTACATTCCTAACTGCCATCGTCAACGAAAGTAAGTTATACTCATGTTAACTCATATTAACGACTACCAACCAAATGGAAACATTACTAACATCTTCCTCAAAGGTCTCCGTCTAGCCTGTGCCGTCAGCGAGCGCATGCCACGCATCAACAAGACCGCCGCCTGGACGTACCGCGACTACGTGATCCCGCCCGGGGTGCCGGTAGGCATGGACATCTGGACGATGCACCACAACACGGTGTTATTCCCGGATCCCTACACCTTCAAGCCGGAGCGGTGGCTCGGGGACCCGAAGGTGGAGCCGGAGCTGCTCGAAAAAGCAGGCTACCTGCCTCCTCTCGACGGCAAGACCAAGCCGCTCACCCACTACATGGTCGGCTTCGGCAAGGGCACCCGCATGTGCGTCGGCATGTACCTCGCCTACGCGGAGATCTACATCGGCCTCGCGACTATCTTCCGTCGGCACGAGTTGGAGCTGTACGAGACCTCGCGCAAGGACGTCGATATCGCGTGCGAGATGATCCTCTCGCTGCCGTGGAAGGGGACGAAGGGTATTCGGGTTAGGGTCAAGAAATGAGCTGTACATACATATATCTATCCCCTTACAGTAAACCTACCTAAGGTACCTAGATGTTAGAGATCCTACATACATACATAGGTACCAACTATTAGAGAGTAAAAACTAGACAAAGAAGGAGGAGTATGGGTTCGTGTATATATAGGTATATCCCCGGTCTGGAGTGGGGTGGGTGTTGATGCGCAACGGCATTGTTGCCTTTTTTTCCCTTCCCACCGTTGGGTCGCGTCGCAACGTTGTGGTGGTGATTGGTTGCGCTATTATGAAGCGGCTACCGATAAATATGTCTTGGGTGGCGGTGGTAGCTGGATACAGACTGAAGACTCGAAGCTATCATTGAATGAAAAAAAAAAAATTTTGTTAATATAACTAAAGAATTATTAAGTTCATTTATCTTTGGGGTTTTCACATGCTTCCATAATAGTGATCTTTATTGTTGAGTTATGTTTGTAGAGTTAGAGGTTGGAATGATAATATTGAAAGTTAAGGGATATTGGAATTTACTTGCGTAAAAGGGGTAGCTTTAGGTATGTATGTAGAATACGAGGTAGATGTAAACTTGATTTACATGGTCATGGTTATTTTGAATTCTATTTATCCGGAACGTAACAAAACTAGTAGACTATATTGCTGTAAGGTATGCCAAAGAAATGTTATAGCCCAATATTTATTCATTGAGATGGGTTTATAGATATTTGTTTATTATTTTACATCCGTCTATCTTTTTATAAGAACTCATCAATTGTAGCAGCCATTAAAAGTTCAATCGAAAATGAAAACTTTCAGTTTAAATATAGTACGATCAAAGTCACTTCGGAGTATGATAGTTACCTATTTCTCTGTTTTAACTTGACGAATATTGTAGTCTTTAAATATAAAACGAAGTAGATGATTTTTTAGCGAGAAATGGAAAAAGGTCCTATGATGTTAATAAGTGGATTAATGAACCTGTTATTCATCGTGGCGAAGTTATCAAATGTAAGTACTTGTTAAATCCTTGTAGGATAAGTGACCGTATAAACAGCCGAAGCCTACTAGAAGTGAGAGAAATAGCCGAAAAATAAAAGAAACCAAAAGAAAAGGTTAGAAGAGGTTGGGACTTATAAGCGCTGGAAAAAGCTTTATCGTGAGACATGGCGTTATAAATATCAGAAACATAAGCCCAACCCAACGATTCACTTGCTCCACTCGTCTGTTTTCTGGCCGCCTGTTGCCGGGCCGAAGACACTTTTCGGGATCGGCTAATGAGTGTTCTACTAATGTGCCTTACACATTTTCGAACGGGCAATATCAAGCCTTAACTGTCCTAGAAGATCCCCGGGGTTCCCCTTTTTTCATGCTCACGGGACTTGATGGATGGAATAATAAGTGTACGAATAACTAGGGTGTATAATAAATCTACTTTAATAATGGCGACAGAATTCTAAATGGTCTCGGATTTATTTAGATTTATAACAGGTTACTAATTAAATGTTAACTTATTTAAGTCAATTAAGTAAATAAATATATCAAGAAGTCTCTATCATAAATAAAATAAAATAATTGAATTGTTTAATGTTAATATTTATATTATTAGTTAAGTTAATAATTAGCCTTATGCAACTGATAACATGGTAAACAGTTATAACTAATAATCCCTCTTTAATCAACAATTATTTCCTACCTCTTACTGCTTTTTCTATTTAATTCGGTATAATTCGACTACAGCGCTTACGCTGGTGGCCTGTCGTCGTACTATTATTCGTTACTTGTGAGGCCTCAGTGACGGAGGCCTGATTTACGGAGCTGGTCACCTCGTCGGGGACCTCAACATGGGTCGTGACTTATATAGTTTAACAGCCGAGAAACTTACACCATTACCATTCGTCACTATGTGAAACATGAAACGTCCGACAAAAACCAGTCTTATAAGTTAAATACAAATAACTATAGGGCCTGCATAATGTGATACATGAGTTAAGGTACATTAGTTGACAGCTCACAGCCGCTTGATGTTGCTGCCTGGACGGTGTGGTTACACTACTCTGTTGGTTCAGTGAAACCTCCAAATTCTGCCTTGTTCTGATTTTTGTTATTCCATTTCACACATCCTTCGTGATGCCGAGTTGTACAACTGAATCAGCCTCTCTGTTTAATACACCTAAGAATCCGGTGAAACTCATCGAATAATAGGATCTGGTTACCCTTACCAACAACACACGGGCTCAAGGTATACATAAATAAATGTCATGTGGGCTAGGATTAGAGTACAGGAATGATTATACAATTTCTATACAATTCGAGAATAAAAAGTTTATGTAGTGAACCCTGAAGAGAAAACAACCAGTCTAAACTCTTTACGATATAAGGCTGTTTGTTCAGCTCGTACAGCGCAACCTCGGAAGGAGAAGGTTATTGATAATTTTAGATATCCTTGTAATTAGGTTGTAGCGAAGAAGCTATAGAAATGGTATCGCCGGATGGCCCCGATGCGACCTTCAGGTACTAGGTCTGAATGACTATCGTCGTTGACAGTACCAACACCTCCGAGATACATACAATAACTACCATGTTCTATAAGATTATGGTCATGAGTATCTATTAGGGAAATAGGCAAGTTATTAGAACTAGGTACGATTTTGGTAAAAGGATTCAGATGACTTCTCGTCACAAATGCCATCTTATTTATGGCACCCCTTATCGAGAACGAAGTAGAAATATTAAATATGCACTTGCTGCCTAGTAAAATACGTAGAAATCTGCACTTTGATGGGTTAAGTTCGGTCTGCCGCCGGCTCGGCTGCTACAGTCCTAAATTTCATGTCCATGCGTGAGTAGTTTGCTCGGGACATCCGTGGAATCGTGAATCGTACATACATACCTACCTACCTACATACATACATACATACACTTAATACCTATCTCACACAAAGTGATTCATTTCCCTCTTACCTTCTTAGTCCAAAATTTTCCACCCTAAATCGTCTTGAACACAAAGACAGCTCAACTAGTGACAATGAAATACACCAACAATGGCGAGTGGCTACCGAACAATGAACTTGTGCTCTGAATCTTGGAGCCCTGATTCACCACAACACCATGATTCAACCATGAAGCATACAAGTCTATTATTCCGGAACAAGAAAACGTAGACTATTTAACCCTCTCTGGCCCATTTGAACAATTCCGAGTTTCTGAACCGCGGAGCAACAAAGGTACATAGCTAAACCCCCCTACTAATTAATCAAAGTACCTAACCTGGCCTAACTAGAGGCATACAAAGGACAAAGGCGGTAGACTAACAAGCACGAGAGCATAAAAATAAAGAAAGCTCCATGGCGTCTAACAACTACTACCACCAGCACGGCTATCAGGGTCGACCTAACAACTACCCCCCGACGCCCCTACCAATGCCGCCAATGCCGCCTCAACCTCTATACCCCATGCCTCCATACCTAACAACACCCTATCCCACGGTTCCGTATCCCCCATCTCCCTACCCCATATCCATACCCCTATACGCCCCTCCACCCCCCAGCCCGCGCCGTCGCGCACCACGGCCCCCCAACCCAAACGTCGGCCCCGCCCTCGTAGACAACTTCATCGAGCGCGCGCACACGCGCCTCGAGCCCCGCCGCGCAAACCCGACCTGGACCGAGGACGTCCTAACCAACGACCTGCAAGACCAGCTCGCCCGCGTGCGGCGCAGCATCCAAGACATCGTCAGCCAAGAATTCCACCTGCCGGGGGACATCGTGCCTCGGGTGACAGTGCAGCTGTGCGCCGTCGACCTCAAGCCGGACGGGACATGGCACCACGGACGGGGGGAGCTTGGCACACCGGCTCCAACCGTCTACATGCCCAAGATCGTGGTGCGGATGCCTGAGCGCCGGGCCCCCGAGCGTCTGCACACGGGGCAGCGCGTCGCCAACGGGCCGACCCCGAGCGACCGCGCATACGTGGACGCGGGGAAGCGGGTCCTGGATGCCGTCGTCCACGGTAAGGGACTGAACCGGTACAACGTGCGCACCGATCTGCGCGGTCTCCCGTTCGACCCGGCCGCGACCTGCCGCACGCCTGCTTCGAGTTCCAGGAGAACACGGGCGCGGCAGAGGACTCGTGCCATTTCATGCCGACGCACGTCCACGTCTACCTGCCCGCCAAGGTGAAGCGTGTTAACAATCGCACCACCTGGTTTTATGAGCGGTTGTATGCGGGGCACGCCCAGGCTATTGCGCATCTGACGGGCTGGGCTAGTCATCGGAATATAGATTTGAGTTTTCTAAGGACGGCCCGTATTTAAGTAGGAGTAAAAACGTGAGTCTGGGGTTAAAAAGTTAGTTCGTGATTTAATCGGGTGTGTGGGTGGCATAGCCGGTCGAACATATAGGGGGGGGGGGGGGGGGGGGTAAGGCGGCATTGATGAGTTTATACCATTACCGGATTTGAATTATTCCTAATTAAGCTTCGATATTGATACCCATTTGTATGTAGTATTATTAGCTCATCATCAAGAAAATAACTGAAGAGGTATAATCATATATGATAGAATATTTTGATGAAATCGTGTCTATTAAGTTCGTGAATCACTTTTCTTTATTCTACAGAGGGGTTATGGCAAATCTCCATTATCGGTCGTTAGGTAAGGTAAGGAACTAATGGTAGACGGGATGAAGATTCAGGGGTATGATGATGACCGCAAGAGATACCATACCTAAGCTCCCCAAATGTTGTCCCCCCATATGCAAATACTTTTGCCGGATCGGCGGCTCATTCAGTCGTATCCACGGTAAGATACCGAGGACTTGCGAATCGAAAACCACTACGCCCCCCTTTTTCCCCAGTCCCTGAATACCCCTGCCATACTCGGACAATTGTGATACACCTTAGCAACCGTGGTATAAGACGGTAATTACCACCGGTAGGCATACCGACCCCCCCGTCCGAATATAAACTCTTTGTAGCGGCGGCGGCTGGCTGCCTCTATGTTGTCTGTCGAACCGAAATTATACAAGCTTCTTAGACTTTCTGGTAGAACAGCAGGTAGGCAACCTTGTTGTCCTTGATGTTGTCCTTGGCCTGCTTTCCTTTCGCCTGTACGGTGTTCGATGCCCCATTGACAACGGAACTCCATTTCTTTGCTCCATTTACTGGAGCGCTGACTTTATTCCACCCTTCATCATCACCAGCTTCATCGTCACCAATTCCTTCGAATCTGTTACCGGAACCGCTCACAGCGGTGTCCTTCTTGTCAGCCCGCGCCGTAGTTTTAAAACTTTCGTCCTCAGAGCCTCCTTCAGCAACATCTTCGCTTCTTACTCGTCGGATAACTGTGTCATCCATACGGATCCATTCTACACCATCTTGGCGCCTGAGATCAACAGTGTAGTGCCCACCGCTAGCATTCTTGCCATGGTGGTAAACAGCAGCGATCAGTTTATATTTAGGGAAGCCTGCACCTTCAACGGTAAGAGCATTTCTCTTCTGTCGTGGAAAGAGCTCTTTGGGAAGTTCGAGCTCCAGTGGGTATCCAACCTTCTTCCAGATCTTGACGGTTCCGGTCCCTTCAGTGTCGAACTGGAAACGTTTTAAGTGAAGAATGAGGACGGGCGGTAGGGATTCGATGAGAACCTGTTTGGTGGCCGTCGCATCCTTTCCCCTTGGCGACCCAAAATCACCATGTAGAATTTCTGGTCTGGTGAGTGCTTTCAGTGCATCAACAATGTTATTGACCTGGGGGGAGCCAATGTCCAGCTGAAGAGGTTGGAAGGGTTCTAGAGTTACGGAATCCTTTAGGCCTTGTACCCTTAATTCCGATCTTAGCTGACCACCAAACACCTTAGTGATGGGAGACGAGGTAATTGGATGGCCGGAAGAACGCGTAACAGCAGAGCGTTGACGCGGCCCTACTTCTAACCAATCACTGGTATCTGGTGTACTTGTAGGAGACGTCGCGGAAGGAGTGGCAGCCGATGAATTTGCAGCGGTAGTTGTAGCAGACGAGTCTGGTTGGTTGCGCATTACTTGTGTGCACTCGTCGTGTAGTGCCTCTAAAAGGAAACCAAGGAATTCTTCGGCATCTTGCTGATGTCCACGCTGTACAGTCTTGTTAGGTCGCCTCAAAATATATGGGTAAAAGAACTTACCCTCATGCTGGCGAATCTAGGAAGCTTCCTTATAGCTTCATAAACAAATTCGGGGGTGAAAGGCTCGCCATACTGTTCAAGTTCCTCATTCTTCAGCCTCCGTCGAAGTTGCTCAACAGACACTGCAGAATCAATAACTTTGTATTCGCGCATGAACATAATCCTAGAAAAGTTAGACGGATCAAAGGTAAATTATATAAATAATGTGCATTGGGTACTTACATGGCATCAATTAAGGGAGTTTCGCTTTTAAAACTATATGCCGCTTTCTTGCTGACCTGGTCCAGGAAGTCATAAAATGGAATGCAGAAAATGAGAACTTGTAAAACCTGGATAGAGTTAGTTTAACTTCCGTTTCGCAAGCCAAGCTACCACGACTTACAGAATTCATATAACACATGTTCCCGGGATTGATTAAACCTCTAGGCTCCAGAAACGAAATCTTTTGACTGCTACCCCACGCGGTATGATCGCAAAGCTTCAGCCAAAGAACTAGTGTTTGACTTTGTGAACTACCTACCACACCTACACCCCCATTACCTGAAGCAGTGTTATCGGCGATACTTGTTGTAATGCTAGTACTAGCTGGTGCAGCACCGGTAGCGCCAGTTGAAGGAGAAGCGGCAGATGCTGTACGTGAAAATAACCCTGTCCAGAGCTTTGGGCCAGCTTTTGCGGCAACAGGAGCGGGCTCTACTTTTGCTTCTGGAGAAGTCTCTGTAGCCTCAGCAGGTTTTTCCTCTGCGACGGCTTGCTGTGTAGGTTGTTTCTCCTCTACTAATTTAGTCTCAGCACTAGATGAATTTGTCTCTTTGGGACCTGCTTTAGGTTTTACGGGGATGATAGGAACAGCTGGTATAGCAGCGAGAGAAGCTGTCTTGGCGTGCTTGGCAGATGTAGCAACAGCAGGCTGAGCTACTTGGACCGGCTGAGGAATGGCAGACGAGGTAGACTGTGAGGTTTCTAAAAGCTCATCTTTTGTTAACCCAGCTTCGGGTTGTGTTGGTAGCTCGGAGTCCGTACTAGCCGGAATAGTAGCAGTAGAAGATTTAAGTGTAGGGGTTGAAAGTAGTGAGGCATCACCTCCTAAAGTCTCTTCATGTGACACAGCTCCCGACTCAATTCCCTTTGCTTGGATCGAAGGTAATTCGACATTCTCTGCATCAGGGTTCTGTATCCGCCTCTTTCTTCTAGATCGAGCTGACTTGGTAGGAAAGGGTATATCAGGTCGCGATAACCAGGGCAGCTATAAGCGAGGGTTAGCTTGAGCGGGTCGCTTTACTATAAGTTCTATAACTTACTGGTGCTCTGAATGGTGACAAGGTCGACCGCAACTCGACATCCGGGGTGGCCGGGGCAGTTTCCTGGTTTTGCGGCGTAGGGGGGGTCAATGGGACCGGAAGAACTTGGGACGAATGTGTTGAAGAGGGCGTCTCGGGTACGGAGACAGGTGGAGGCGGCCCGCTACAGCATAAGGAGGAGGAGTTGAAAGAGCCGGCGAGGGTTGTTGTGGTGGAGGTGGTCGAGAGTAAGGAGGCTGAGGAATAGGTTGCATGCTCGAGGACACGATAGGAGGATATTGCTGATGAATTATAGGAGGAGATCGTTGAGGAAATTGGTTGTATTGCATGTATGATGCGTTGGCCATGCCACCATTCTGATAGTGATGCGAAACTTGAGGATAGTATGCTTGAGGATAGGGAGCCATATACCCGTTATGGTGGTATATGGGATTGACATGTTGTTGGTGGTGATATTGATGATGGGTCGAATACTGATGCTGCGGCGGCCGCCGTCGACCACCAGGTCCTGAACCAGGTCCCATATCAACTTGACCTCGCGCCACAACTGCTCCTCCGGGAATACCTCCTGGCATAGGCTGCCCAGCCGGCAGATGACTACCGTTCATCTTGCCGGCTTGGGGTAATGAAGCAGTGGCTATCCACTGCTTCTGCGACGTAGACTGTCGCCGATAATCGAATTGCGACTCTGTTTGCGCGGAGGCGACGAACGGGCAACCTCGAGGTTGTTGTTTGCTCGAAGGCTGCGCGCTGAATAGATTAAGCGTCAAGTTGCGTCAAAGTTGTGTTATCAACTCCGATCCACTTCCGCAGCCGAAAAGGACGATGGGAACGAGTGGCGCTGCCTCATAGGAGCCTTAAACGAGAAAGTGAATAATAGGTATGAGAAAGTGCACTAGACGGTGAGGAAATATGAGGTTCAAAGGTACTTTATAAAGGACAGAATATTGCCCGAATTGTTCGCGCGTTGAAGAAGTTGTTAAGGTTGACCGGGGTTGTTGTGGTCAACCGAGCTAATAATTTGTGTTCTGACTTTTTCTAAAGTTTTCGGACCCTTTTGAGATTACCTCAAGCTAATAATAATTCAGCGCGAGCCCGGCTGACGGAACGAACTTTCCCAGCCACGGACGCACTAGCCACATTTATTATAACTACATGTACCTACTCGGCAGGTGTATGGTGCCCGTGTTGGTAAAGGTACGTACCAGGCTTTATGTTGCGCTCAAGATTGAAGAAAGTTCCGAATATCGATATTCAATATATTGGATGCATGCAGCTAAGATAATTAGATATTATCTTGCTCTTGGGTTTGCATTGTATATTTGAGAGAAATAGTGACTTTAAGTGATTGGATATGTTCCTGTTTAAATACTTTAAGACTACTTAGGTACATAGACATAAATTTGCATTCTATCCGAGTACACGTTTTAACTTCAATCAGTCCAAACTTTGTTATAATACATCACGTACAAGCGTCAACTCAAAAAAAAAAAAAAAAAAAAAAAAAAAAAGCACAGACGATGTTAGCAAAAATAATTCTTCTACTAAAATGTTCTTTATCTTCATTGTTCCTATGCTAACTATGCTATGCTATGCTAATCTCGATGCTTGTAAATGCGTGCTCCGTGCCAGCAAAATCAAATGCGCCATAGGGTTGCCCCTAAATCATCTTTGAATTCTAAGAGCGAATCAGATGTTATTCATCTCTAAAAACCCATCTTCCACCAGGTCGCATAGCCTCGCGATATCTTTCATCAATTATTCGACGTGTCGCCTTCGCCGCTTCTTCTCTATCATGTTGTTCCTCCTGAGTGCTCGGGAAATCCGCCCGCCAGAAACCTACTGGAGATGCAGCACGATGGAATCTGTGGCGATGTTTGCCATGCTCATTAGCAAGCTCTCGCATCTTAGCCTCAAGCCATAGTTCTTCCTTCTCGGCTTTAGTCATGGTCGACAATTTCCAAGCTTCATCACCCATGTGTTTTTCTAACAAGGTCTGAAAGTCCACCGGCCCCGTCTGATCACGTTTGGCCCGTGCTTGTAGCCGAAACGTCTGGCCGCAGCATCCCTCTTGGACGCATCCTTCTAAGTTAGCTCGTTCATTCTTATTTCGAACAACGTCGGTGAATGCATAGTCATAGCCTTCATTAGAGTTCGGGTTAATTTTGAAGTCAGCGATGCCAAGTTCAGACTTGGGCCGTTCTCGCAAAGGCCGGATACTGCCAGTCGTACTGCCTTTTTCTCTGTCGTCAGATGGTCGCTTCGCGTTCATATTTCTAGCAGCTCGTTTCCCGTGTAATGCCTCTGGGGTATCATAAGATTGAGGTGGCCTAGATATCTTCCTCAGATCATTCTTACTAAAAGGTAATTCACGTCTCTGCGGAGCTTGAAACTCGAATTGCTTTGATATACGCGAATGGCCTGACTGTATAGTAGGCGATGGGTCAATATCCTCATGGCCTGGTGAAGGGGTATTAAGAAGAGCTTGAAGATCTGTTTTTAGTTTCTTAATATTAGTTCTCGGGGTTTTGTTTTGGGCGTCATCTTCTGTGAGATTGGCCGCATTGGTCCTTATAGAAGACGAGTCCTTTCGCTTTGTTAAGTAATTCCCTCCTGTTTTCTGTTGAATCGCTGCAGTAGGGCCAAAAATTCCGGATCTTGGGGCTAATGGATTATTGTCAACGTTTGCGTGGTCGAGGTTCTCATCCGACAGAAGCTGAGGTAGAAGAGCCCTCTTCCTTGTCGTATTGCGTACTAGATCTTCTAACCTGCTTAGCCGGTTATTGCCAGCGTGCGATCCAGGAACTCCGACCGAGCCCGAAACGGACACATCTTCGAATTCAAGACTTGTTCTATTACGCTTCCTTGGTGTGACCACTCTACCCCCCCTCAGCATCAAAATCAATGCTCTCGTGTGGTATAAAGTGCTGGCGTTCATCCATAATCAGCGGATCAGAATTATCTTCCGTCTTGACCTTAGTGACATTTTCGGTCTGACCATCATCGTGTTTTCTCTTGCGTACACAACGTTCCGATACTATAACTGGGGGGTCAGAAGAGGGCTCGGTCTTAATGAGCACCTCCCTTGAATTGGTATCTCGGTGGTGCGGGAAAGGTGGTAATGTATATGATTCGCCTTCCACGGTACTGACGCAACTTTCCGAGCCAGTTGTGATATTTTTCTCTGGACTAATTTGTTGCGCTGTCTTTATTCGCATTGGTTCTAATGGGGATACTCTCCTAGCAGAATCGCTTCCATTTTCGTCAACATTGGCGGGCGGCCATATCAGCAGGGATTCCTTTAATAAGGGATCAAGCCTGATAGATCTAGGTTGATCGGAAACGTCGGAATCGATAGATTCGCGAGCAGCCACTTGATCTTTATTCGTAGGTGGAACTGGTGTATCTGACGAAAATCTTCCATCCAGTGGACCAGATGCTGCTGCAGCCGCCGCGTCTAACTTAGCTTCTAACTTTTTAATTATCCGACTACGCTTCTTGCACAATTCATCCAACTGATTTGCATGGTCCATCCATTGATTGTAGGCTTTCGTCTTATCTCGAAGTCGTTGATTTAACTTCGCATGAGCATCCTCAAGCTCCAAATACTTCTCGTGCAATTTCGTGTAGTTCCCGTTCAGTTTAAGATACTCCTCCTTGAGCGCAGAACCGCCCAGTCCATCGATGTTGAGATTACCTAATTTAGTAGATGGCTTGAAATTCGAAACTTGGTTCACAGACTTAGGCGTGAGAGGGGATCGGCCATTCCTAGCGTCATTGCGGGCTTTAGATTGGTCTATGGACAATATGCTGGCATGATTGCTGTTTTTAAGAGTTTGAAGTTCTCTCTTTAGAGCAAGGTTCTCTTCTTTAAATCGATCTGCATCAGAGACCCTGGCCCTTAAATTTTCGAGCTCGGTAGAAAGATGAGCATTTTCGTATTTATACAATTTAAGCCCTATTTCCCAACTTAGTATTTTTTTGCCAAAATAGAGATGTGTATTCCTTTACACACCTTCGTCAAGTTCATTATCAATTTTATTACAGACTCCAGTTAAAGCGTCGAAGAGGGCAGGTCTACCCACATCCTTGAACCAGTTCTCCATCTGGGAATGAATTGACCCGCGCCGTCTATTTTAGCTATAGGTAAACATAGCTGATCAATGCATCGACGTGAATGTTTGATTAATTGACTTTGGGAGGTTTAAGCAATGGACGTTTTAGTAAGGACGAAGGTCAGTAGGTACATATTGAGGTAATGACGCGTCTTAGAACGGTGATACGCGACCAGAGGCGCTTTCCGCTCCATTAGGAAAAGATGGTCTGTGCGTTACTAAGCTGCCTAATCCTGCTAGGCCCTACTTGCCTCTGCAAATGAATAATTGGAACCTAGCCCCAAAGGGATTAATATCAATTTCCTCATTAGGAACATGTATTGATTTCGTAACTCACTTGGGTCTCCAATTACGTACTTAGATGCGACATCAGAACCAGAATATTGAAGGAATGATTTCATAGTTTCTTTCATGTGTCCATTAGAAGTATCTACCAATAGATGTGCGAAATCGACGTTACATCCAACTTGCAAACGGGGGTGGTTTTCCGATTGTGGATGGAATAGGTAGGGCTGCATATGATCCTCTATCCCGCATAGCGCACGAATTCTATTCACCGTATTAAAACCCAGCCCAATAACATGACAAGCTCGTTACCAGACTAGAGCCACTTGTTGACTACCTAATTAGAGATCCGTTAGTTCAGACCAATTATTTCCCATGCTGGTTCTCGGAGAGTCGTGTTCCGGGACGGCAGAATCTTCAACTTTGATATCTAATTACTATGGTAATGAAAAAGCATCAGTCGAACAATAACATATAATTCAATATTTATGATTCACCCATTATAGAGTAGATCTAGTTAAACATGAGTTTGCTCAAGTACGAAGGTATAAGTGGGCATATTTACACATATTCAGCGAGTCTCATTAAAATTTGCACCTCTTAATGCCCGGAGGCTTTGCCAAAATCTCCAGCCGTTTATACAGATGAGGTACAAATATTTAAGTAAATATGCTAATAGGCATCTGGCCTTTGGACAATTTAAAGGCCACCTAAGTACCTAACAATCTTCGTTTTAATATCTAATAGAAGTTCGCAATGAAGGAATATTCATTCATCTTGAACGATAGGCTAACCCGAGAGGAATCTGAATAAGAACTAGCAATATGACTATGGTATTAGAAACAATCGAAGCTTCCTTATTCATTACTAGGTACAGTGTGCCCAGTTGAATCATATACATATCATAGTGCGAGTAAGAAGTAAGAATGGAGATGTCTGCATATTTGCTTCATGAAAAACTACAGACCCAACTTTGACAGAACTATTGGTATATATCAAATACAACCAACCCCTAGGATAGTTTTTTTTAGTACCTCATCACTCAAGATAGCTATGCCCATTGGTGCCAAATATTAAATTCAAGACACGGGCACTCTACGGACAGGGAAATTTGGACCACGAGGGTTTGTGATAAAAGTAATATTACATTAAATAGAACTACGAGACACTGTATTAATAGAAAAAAAAGGAAGCTTTATTATTGAATATGTTACATTGCTTATTTTTCATCTATCTAAGAGTCTAAGAGCTAAGAGGCAGGTGGTCAGTTTAGTGATTAGGCTACATATGGTCTGTCCAAGGGGCCTATCGCATCAAAACTTGAAAGAAGACTCCCACTGGACCTAGATCGACAAGATATATGACCCTGTTTGCCATTATATTTATCATATATGAATGTTTAGATAATAATATAGTACTTTATACTGTACAAATATGGCGGTAAAGAATCGCACGTGCCGTTTAGGCGCTAAAATGGGCAGAATAGCCAGCCGACGTCCTAAATGGAATTTTGGCGAAGCCCACAAAAAAAAATTTATGGTTAGCAATCAACTGCTATTACGCTATTATGTACGTCCACAAGAATTTCAATAACGATTAGAACGTTGTATCGTTTTCCTTTGGTAAAATCGATAATAAATTCTTTCCCTCGTCTAAACCTCACTCTAAATTTCAACGCTCTCCCCTTTGGTATACATACATACCTACCTACCTAATTTCTATATTTTCAGAGGTACATAACGTTGACGCTTTCCGTTCTCAAGTTACTCGTAAGTACATATACCTTTCCGCACGTACAAATATATGTGGCATCTTAAGTACTTAAGGGTACCTATTCGTGTACCTGCCGCTTAGCATCTTCGCTCGCCCCCTTCTGTATTGCCGCTGCCTTGAATCTCTGTTTTCAGCCGTTGGCTTCGACCTAGACGTTTATCACCCCACCATCCAACTCCTTCCACAGGCTAACTAACCGATCATCCTTCCGTCAACATACTTTTTTTTCCTCTCTTGCCGTCCTTCCTACCACACGATAAAAAAAATTATTTCCCCGTACACACACACTCATACATCCTTCGTCGTTTTCATATCGGTCCTCCCACTAACAATCTCGTCGAGGGCCTAGTACGATATCAACATCTATTTCGTGGTCGCTACTAGATTACGAACTCGAATTCAAGTCAACAATAGTTCAACGCTGTTTCTTCATATCAAACTTACGGTAAGCTTCAACTTCCTACTTACATTCATGTCAAGTTTATCCTTTATCATTTGTTGGTGTTGATGTTGGCGACTACCTATGAACCCCTCCTTCGTGGTCCCTTCTGGTGCACTGAACATAACCCCGCTGCACGGGCGTACATATCAGTACGCGCCTCTCAGATATTATCGCCTAATCCCCACACTCATCACCTTGCATTCATGACGAATCGGTGTCCCTATCAGCCCTACATACACCCATCCTGCTTGCGCTACATCGTCTTTATATACCTGTTACTTGCTACCAATCTCTTGGGTCTCTGGCGGCACCTACAAATGCTTCAAAGCTTCCAATTAAATTGTGACTTGGCAGCTTGAGGGTGGTGTTCGAGGGGTGTTGTTTAAACTGGTATTGGCACACTCAATCTATTGGGGTGAAATTCGTTTGTCTGTGCCTGTCAACAGTTACATGGCATCATACTCCATTTTCTAATGGGGTTTCACTTGCTAACACTATCTACGTTTTGTCAGATTTCGATCATCGCATCATCTTGAATCCACAAAGTCAAGATGGATTTCCAAGGTTCCACTCGTACCTGCTACACTTGTAAGTCATCACACTACCTATTTTTAACAATTATCTACTGCCTCGTGTGATTCTGGTAACCCTATATCTTCACTTATAACTACTGTATTGATGTTATTGTACGATATTTATTTATCAAGCAGTTGTCAAAATTTATTAAATGTGCCCCATCAAATTTTCTCGATTTCGAGTATACCAACATTGAAAAAATATTTTTATGATGCATTACTAGTCAAACACTTCATCCTCTCCAATCCCCGTTTATCTCGTTTTAATTTCGTGGGCGAGGTATCATCTAACATCACTTCTTCACGTAGGCGGTCAACCTGGACATCAGGTATGTCTCACAAAAGGAGCTCATTGAGCTCCGAGGCGGTCTAACTGTGCGAATGTATTTATTTACTGACAAATTCTCAGACCCGAGAATGTCCTAACCGTGGTCCGCCCAAGTGGTAAGAAATATTCACATCTCTAGTTTTATGGGTGTTTTATAATAACAATTTCGCAGTTACAACTGTGGCGGCGAAGGTCACTTTAGTAAGCTCGGCGCCTTCTCAAGTTCAACTGAAACAGCCTTTAACAGAAGATTATTTTAGGTCGCGATTGCCCCGATGGTCCCAAGGACACCAAGTCATGCTACCGCTGCGGTTTGACGGGTCACATAAGCCGTGACTGCCCTCAGAGCGGCGCTCCGGCTGGCGGTCCTCAAGGTGGTGCTGGTGGTGGCTCTCAGGAGTGCTACAAGGCAAGTTCTTACAATACTCCCTGTTTAGCGGTTATCGTAAAACTAACTTTTTCGGTTACAGTGTGGTAAGCCTGGCCACATTGCCCGTAACTGCACTGAATCGTACGGCTCAAGCAACTACGGAGGAGGTGGTGGCGGCTTTGGCGGCGGCTATAACGGAGGCGGCGGCCAAGGTGGCAAGACCTGCTATTCTTGCGGTGGTTATGGCCACATGTCTCGTGAGTAAATTTGAAATCATAACGCCACATACTTTCATTCTAATCTAGTTATAGGCGAATGTGTAAATGGTAGCAAATGCTACAACTGCGGCGAGAATGGCCACTTCTCCCGTGACTGCACTAAACCCTCGACTGGCGGAGAGAAGATCTGCTACAAGTGCCAGCAGCCTGGACACGTCCAGTCTCAGTGCCCTAACTAAGCGGATTCACCATAAAGATACCTCGAGCTTTTTCTGCGACGCGATGACTTCATTACAAATTCAATTTCTTCTCGGCAAGTTATGAAGGTGGATGGCGACCGTGGCCTTTGGAAAGGTTGCCAGAGCAGTGGATGATTGGGAGGGTCAATCTCTAATAATCTTCGACAAACACCCTTGTATATTCTCTTATGGGCACCCTTCGCGTAAGCGGGTGGGTTACTATGGCAGGTCGTGATTTGGTAAACTCGAGTAATCTCACTTGGTCGGAATTATGGCACAATGGAAAATGGGGAAAAATCTGGCCTGGATCCGGAAAAGTTCTGCTGCGGAACACGGAGTCATGGTTTGCTTTGCTAGGGACATTGAAGGGTTTCTCGTTCTGGTTGCGTTAGCACCATACAAATACACTTCTGCGCAGTGATTGTTCCCAGTCTAGGAACACTGAATGCGAATGAATTTCATTAATTGCCTCTGACTGTGTTCGTCCGATTGAATATTTGTGTTTCTGACTCGTTAGCATTGTAACTGCTTCGCTGATTATAAGTTGGCGTCCTGTGGGGTACTGAGGTTATGCAATGGCCTCCTGTTCCTAAGGTAATCGTAAGATGAGGTTGCCGGGATCATGTTATTTAAACGGCGTTGAGAATAATACTTTTATAATGGAATTATGATATTATAGGTCGTCCTAATTGTGATAGGCTTCAACGGGAAGAGCGGTATTCGAGTCCTGGGATTCATTTGCTGTGGTCATTTTTCTGCATTATAAGAGGCAAGCCTAATCGCGGGATAGTCACTTACAATATAAATACTAGGAAGACATCGGCATCGTCATTGTTGTAGGCCGCGAGCCTAACTCTATCATGCTATTTAAAATGGTATCTAGGTATCTATCGACATACACATCTACGCCCATCCAATCAATCAATCAACCCATCCAGCGCCAACTCCGTTTTCCATAAAAGGGGAAGAAGAGGAGAAATTCGAAAGATGTATGTATGTATGTACGGGCTGAGTCTAGCATTCTCCATCGATAAAGGACTGTGGTTGTGAGGATCCTACGCCTCGTGCTGTGCTTGGTATGAATATTTAGGTATATACGGCGTCGAGGTACCTGCTTATCCTCGGCTGCGATCCGCGTTATCGGAGGGTATGTTCGTAGTGTGCTATATACTATGATGCGGCGCGAAAGCTAGTGGCGGTTTTCCTAGGTGTTAATCGCCATAGTAGCTAAGCTAATAGCGAAATATATCCATTCTTCGTGTGATATAATTGAGTGGCGCTTGGTATTTGTGACTAGCCACGGCATGTGAAATGCCCATACGTCGACTAGACGTACATTTGAACATAATAAATCCGTAATAGAACCACAAGCTGCCGTCCTTTTTTTCTCTTTTTTAAATGCGAAGAAGAACTTGGTCTCCTTTTTGCTTCTCGTCTTCTTTCTTTCGGGATAAGAGCTGCGAGATCATAAAATGGCTGACGTCTTCGTCCTGCCAGTAGCTCATATGCGAGGCGATGGTGTTAATAGGGTTAAAGTCAAGTGCGCTTCTAAGTAATTAAACAACGAGTTAGTAATTGTCGATTGTCTTTCTGCTTCTAATTTGAGGCTGTCTCTCCTTTATAGCAGGGGTGAAAAGAGTAGGGAAGAGATGGTTCGGACTTACTCCTGGATGCTGTAATCAACCCTGCCGTTACGATTCAGGGCGCGCACTTTCGCTTCCTCCCTGCGCAGTTTCTGCGCTTTTTGCTCCTCGGCTGCCCACGCATCACCAAGCTCTTGGCCCTCCTCAGCGCGGCTGGCGCTGTTCTTATGCTCCTCGATACGCTTCTTCTGGAACCGGGCGTATAGCGTCTCGAGATCGTCGTCGATGAGCGTTGCGTCGTAGCTAGAATTACCACCTGGCCCGTTAGATGAGTTCTGGCGGGCCAGCGCCCGCTTCCGCGCGTCCGTCTTCTCGGACTGTGCGTTGGTATCGGAGATCACGCTGCCGGAAACGATATTTGTACCGGCTCCGGGAGGTATTGTCTGCGAAGGGTTGTTATTGCTGTTCGCGGCGTTAAAGTTCGCAACGTCTTCGTTGCTTAGTCCAAGGCTGCGGTTAAGGATGCTGCTGGCGATGCCGGCGCTAAAACTAGACCAGAGTCCGCTGACGCTCTGGCCTACTTTGACGCCGAGGCCTGACAATCCTTGTGGAGCTACAGCACCGAAGATGCCCTTTTTGGTATAGGGTAAGAGTTGGGGTTTAAGGGACGACATGGCTTGCGAGATTAGTGGCTCTAGGCGGTAAGAAATCGGATCAGAAGGATGGAAGATATTGAACAATTGTCCTGCTTTGGGCGAAGATACTGAGAATGGATGACCCGTAATGGCTGAAATGCGTTGATCTGATGCCATCGAAGAGAGAAATGGGTCTTCTACGCTTTCTGGATTGAGAGGACTTTCAGATGGGGCTGCATTCGGCTTGCTCCGGGCTGCAATGGTACGCCCTTTGAGCATTTGGAAAAGCCCAATCGGCGAGCCGAGGCAGTAGAAGTCTTCTACTTCGAAATCGAAGGCGAGGTCTCGATTATCTTGAGAGGGTTCAAACCGCTCTTGGGAGGGCCAGAAACGTAGGGGGTGACGGGGTGTCTCTGGTGGTTTTATTTTCTCCTTTTGCCTACAGAGGATATCGAACATGATTGCTGAGCCTAACGAATGACCGATGATGTGAACCTTGCCTTTGAAGTCAGGGTTTCGCTCCATGAAAAGCTTATAGATCCTATTCGACTCCTTTAGGACTATCTCGGCAATCTGTTCGCGGTAGGCGCTCTGGTAAAGTAGAACGTCCAGAGCGAGATCTGATATAAGAGAACGAGCAAATGCGACCCCTTCAATAGTAATATCTTCTAGAGAAGGATCTGCCAGGTTGTTAATTTACAGCTAGGGGGTTAGAGGTCTTGAGTAGGATACTTACATTCATCCTCTTCATCTCCGATATCACCTAAGTCGGTCTCGCCTTTCTTTTCTCGTCGCTTGGGGAAATCCAGTAAATGCCTCCAGCAAACCGGGAGAACCTGGATTTTACAATTGCCTGGTCCATTATCACTCTCCTTATTGAGAGTTTTCAAGTCTGCTGAATGCGCATACACTGCCTTGATTGTTTTTCGTAAAATATTAACATCATGGACAAAATTGACGCTTTCCATCCTGGAAGTACGGATTAGCATTTGTGTTAGAACGTGATACGATAGTATGGTGATACATACCGAAGTCCTAGTAGCTGCCCGATCCCGTGGGTAACGAGAACAAGATGCTCGATATCACGTCCTTGCGTTTCACCGTCTTGTCCATTGTAGTCATCCTGGATTTCTTGTTCCTCGCGCTTTCTGATTTGCTCGTCCTGCTTTTCTGGATCGTCGGAAGTTTCGATAAATGTTGAAAACTCCCGCTTCAGGCGATTCTCTCGACGCTGAGTCTCCGTTATAGTTTCGTCGTCTTCCTTGTCTAAGTCCGAAGTATCCTCTGAACGTGTACTAGGTGGAGCAGATCTTCGCTTGATAAGCTTCTCTTGTTTATCGTCTACTCTCTCTGGGGGCAAAGTAGCGGTCGTGGGAGTAGGTGGCCTTTTCCCATCCTTTGTTGTCTTCCCAGGCTCTGAGTAGCCACGCACGAGTTTTACACCATTCATGTAACCACCGCCAGCAAACCTTTGATATACCGTTGAAGTTACCCAGGAAAAGACACTCTCTGAGGATAGCCATGCAGTGTTTGAGTCCTGATAAGTTGCTATACTGTTCATGTAAGTACCGAAGAGCCGGTAAGTCTGCGGTTGATGTTGCACCGGGAGCTGAGGGGACTTAAGCGAACCATCAGTCTGCGACTTAGCGGCTGCTTTCAGGTTTTCCGAGGATGGTTTAGGGGTGACGTCTTGTACTCCGGAGCTACTGCGGATGCTTGGTGCAGGATACGTCCATGGCTTGATTTTCAAATAACCTTCCTCGAGTTGAGCTGCTAGGTTCTCCTCACAGGGTCGCAATGTGGACCCTTCTTGATAGAACCAAGTGCCACGGCGGACATCATAAATGGGTCCTAACCAATATACCGGCGCCAATTCACGTTGTTCTATGTCAACATCGAACAAGAAATCTTCATTAACCGGGACTCGTAGACCACCTTGTTGTGGTCTATTCTCCCCATCAATGCTAGTATTAGGTTCATCCTCTGACGATACAGCTCTCCTCCGTTGAGAGCTTGAGCGCATTTGCTTGTTTGTCGAACTCTTGCCTCGTTCGTCTTCGAGCTCCTCCAAGAGTTTCTGGTAGGCATTTTCGATCGATCTGGAATCATTCTTGGAGAATGCCACGAATTTCTTCGGTGGTATTTGCTTGGCCGTGTCATCCTCCTTCTTCTTCGTTTTTAGGAAGTTCGGTTTTCGTTTGGGAACCTAATAATAAAAAGTTAGAAGACTGCGAGTAAGGCAGAACTGTCAAGATGTGCAACTTACATCTACGGCATGAAACCACATAACATTCAACGGTGGGCAGTCTAATGGATATCTTCTGAAACTCTGACCGTAAAGAGTGTTTGTGCTATGGTCCTCGGCTTTCCTAGTAGGTACCGGTTGACTCGTCTTTGGGGCGGCATCTTTCGGAGTTGGCGTGGTGCTTCGATTTGTAGTCCACGGGTTGATAGAATCTACGGCGCTAGCTAGATACGACTTCTCTACCTTCTTGACCTCCTTCTTGTCGTTGGGCGCATTGGCATCGCTATTTTCTGGGGGCATCTTACCGGAGAGGCCGGAGGGCCATCCGAAGATCCGCCTCTTGGATACGCTGAAGAGTCGACTGTTAATAGGTCGTAAGGGTAGACGGATACTCCTGAAACTTCGCGGGACACAAATCAGCGAACTCGCCAACTTGACTGTAGGTTAAATAAAGTAATAAATAAGAAACTTGAACTTGAAAAGCCAAGTGTCAGATATGTTAAATGTATTATTAAGATCAGTTGTCTGGCCCGCTTATAACTCTTCAGATAGAGTCGGTAAGGCTGTGAATTATTGGGTCCGAGATGAACAATTCGGTGAGACAATTTATATAATATACATAAAATAAAGCTTACTATTATACTTTTTTTATAGAAACCGTTAATAGACCGTTAAAAGAGTAGAGAATAAGATATTGGTATCATTTAGGTATGTAGGAAATATTTACACATGGGAATAAGATGTATCACATGGTAATTGGACTTTGTTGTCCTTGTCAGCCTTAAATTGATACCTTAGTGCAGCATAATAACCCCTGCCTATGACGACCACATAAAGTTAAACGTGCTATATGGAGGTACTGCACGCGCTGCATAAAAATACCCGTAACCCCGCTATGAAGCTTTTCTACTAAGCCATAATTGTAAAGCTTACCCCGTCCTTATCAAGTTATCGGTTCCGATAGGATGGTGGGGCACGAACTAGAATGACTCTAACCGCAATCTCAGGTAGCCTAAGTTTTCGCGAAACTAAAATTTCCATTGAATCGAGCTTCGTTTCTAACTTCACGTGACGGCAAATGGTCTTTTACTGTGCTCTCCTCTAATTCTACTTATACTAATGATCATTTAATTCAACTACTGTGTGGAATGAATCGTCTTCTACTTACAGCGATTGGGGCGCGCAATAAAATACCTAATTCCGACTGACCTTAAAGACCCCTCTCGCGAAAGAGCTTTCTTGCGACGCGCAGTCGTATAATACTACGGAAAAAGGCTACCACCACGATCACCACCTCGCTGCGCCGGTAAAGCACCAAGTCGTAGATAAACTTCCTAAGAAATTCAGACAGATCAAGTTCGGCATCCAGTCTAATCAAGACATTGTCAATCAAGCTGTCATAGAAGTTTCCGATCGAACTATGTACGACATTGACAGGGGCAGAGAACCAACACAAAATGGTATACTTGACAAAAGACTGGTAAGTGACTATGGTTAATGATGGTTTGCTTATAATTAGTACTGATGTTAGTATTTCATAGGGTACGTCGAGCAAGACAGGTATATGCTCAACATGTGGCCTTCGTTTACAAGACTGCACTGGTCACTTTGGCCACATCCGACTACCTCTACCGGCCTTTCACATCGGCTATATCAAATTTACGATAACGATCTTGCAGAATATATGCAAAGACTGCTCACGGGTGTTGTTAACGGAACCAGAACGACGAATGTTTCTCAAGGAGTTGAGAAGACCTTTTATCGACAACATGAGACGAAGCGCTATATGTAAAAAGATCAATACGCAATGTAGAAAGACGAAGAATTGCCCATACTGTGGCGCGGTAAATGGCCAAATTAGAAAAGTTGGAGCTCTTAAAATTGTCCATGACAAGTTCGTTGCATACAATAAGTCAACGTCACAGAAGAAGCAGCCTCCGCCAAGTAAGATTGAGTTTGATAACTCCTTTCTGGAAGCTAAGAAACATGTCCACGACCTGGATAAGCATTTGAGGAAAGCTTTCGAGGATTTGAATCCCCTCAGGGTTCTGAATTTGTTTAAGCAGATCAGCCCTACCGATTGCGAGCTACTTGGACTTGATCCTTCAGAGGGACGGCCTGAAATGTTCTTGTGGCAATATCTCCCTGCCCCTCCCGTGTGTATTCGACCATCCGTAGCCCAGGAGGGTGCCAGTAATGAAGACGACCTGACAACCCGCCTTGGAGACATAGTGTGGGCATGTGGTCTCATCCGTGCTGCGCTGGAAAAGGGCACTGCTCTCCAGACCATAATGGAACAGTGGGAATATATGCAACTGCAAATTGCGGTATATGTAAACAGCGATGTTCCCGGTCTACAGAGTAGTGGTATGAAAACAACGAGGGGTGTATGTCAGCGTTTGAAAGGAAAGCAGGGTCGATTCCGTGGTAACCTGTCCGGAAAGCGTGTCGACTTCTCTGGTCGAACTGTCATCTCGCCCGATCCAAATCTTGCTATTAATCAGGTTGCCGTACCTGAGCTCGTCGCCAAGAACCTAACATATCCCGAAAGAGCCAATCGCGCAAACATCGATAAATTAAAGCAGTGCATACTAAAACGGTCCCTACGTATGGCCAGGAGCCCAGGCTATCCTAAAACAAGACGGTGACCAGGCATTCAAAGTGTCCTTAAGATTTGCAGACAAGGAATCAGCTGCTAGAGATTTGCGCGAAGGAGACATAGTTGAACGACATCTTGAGGACAATGATATTGTCCTTTTTAATCGACAGCCATCGCTTCACAAACTTAGCATTATGAGCCATTTTGCCAAAGTTCGACCATGGAGAACCTTTCGCCTCAACGAATGTGTGTGCGGACCTTACAATGCCGATTTTGATGGAGACGAAATGAATCTCCATGTTCCCCAGACGGAAGAGGCTCGTGCTGAAGCCATGGAGCTCATGGGTGTCAAGCACAATCTAGCGACGCCGAAGAACGGAGAGCCTATTATTGCAGCAACACAGGACTTCATTACAGCTGCATATCTGCTCAGTAGCAAAGATAATTTTTACGATCGCAGGACGTTTACTTATGTAGTGATGCAAATGATGGACGGTATCACTCATCTTGACCTCCCACCTCCAGCTATTTTTGCTCCTAAGCGACTTTGGACTGGAAAGCAAGTCTTCAGTATGCTTATGCGTCCGAACAAGGCCTCACCAGTTAAAGTCAACCTTGATGCCAAGTGCAAAGAATTCTCCGAGCCAGAGCCACTCCAGCCAGGCCAAAAGCCTCCGGCGCCGGATATGTGCCCGAACGATGGTTGGCTAGTTGTGAGAAATTCAGAAGTCATGTGTGGCAGGATGGACAAGTCCACTGTGGGAGCAGGCAGAAGGAGTCTATTTTTTATGTCATCCTAAGAGATTTCGGTCCGGACGCAGCCGTAACGACGATGAATCGATTAGCCAAGCTCTGTGCGCGAGTGTTGACGAATCGTGGCTTCTCAATCGGTATCGGCGATGTTTACCCTACTGCGTCTCTTACTGAACAGAAGCAAGCGCTCGTAGAGAATGCGTACCAACAGTCAGATGTCTTTATTGAGCAGTTCAATGCGAATAAACTACCGAAAGCTGCAGGATGCAGTATGGAAGAAACACTGGAAAATAAGATTTCCGGTACCCTCAGCAAAGTTCGTCAAGCCGCGGGAGACTACTGTATCAAGACATTGAGTAAGAACAATGCTCCTTGGATTATGGCTTCGTCTGGATCGAAAGGCTCGGTTATCAATGTCGCTCAAATGGTTGCCGTTGTTGGGCAGCAGATTATCGGCGGAAAACGTGTAGCTGATGGGTTCCAAGATCGAACTCTCCCACACTTCCATAAGAACACCCGCCAAGCCCCGGCAAAGGGGTTCGTTCGAAACAGTTTTTACACTGGCCTAGTACCAACTGAATTCTTATTCCACGCTATTTCCGGAAGAGAAGGTCTGGTCGACACGGCCGTCAAAACTGCAGAAACCGGGTACATGTCTCGTCGTTTAATGAAGTCGCTAGAAGATCTTTCAACTCAATATGATGATACCGTCAGAACCTCTGGCGGAGGTGTAGTACAATTCCAGTTCGGCGCCGACAAGCTCGATCCCGTTGACATGGAAGGTAAAGCTGTACCGGTCAACTTCGCTCGAACTTGGTCACATGCCGAAAATCTCACTTGGAAAAATTCCGATAAAGCGTTATTACCTTTTGAGATCCTGGAGCTTTGCGACTCCATCTTGAAAAAGGAACGTGACCGTTATCAGAGACGGGGATTGTTACACGGAGAACCACTAGAATACAGAGATGACAGCGACTATGCTATCGATGAGCACGAGAGTGCTCGAAAGTTCCTGGATACCGTTTATGGGCATATGGAGGGTTTAGCTAAAAAGTTATCTAAATTCCGAGCTGCTGGAGGTCTCGACCCTATGCTTACCAAACCTTACGGATCAATAGCGACAATACACAGGAAAGAAAAGGGGGCAGTTTTGGCGATTCCAAAACTGGCGTCGGAGAGGGTCGCAAAGGTTTCCGAACGCACGGTTAGAAAGTTCATTGCGCTATGCCTAGAGAAATATTCTAAAGCGCGTGTCGAACCGGGCCATGCAGTAGGAGCAGTGGGTGCTCAGTCAATCGGTGAGCCAGGAACGCAGATGACCCTGAAGACTTTCCATTTTGCCGGCGTTGCCGGAATGAGTATTACACAAGGTGTACCACGTATCAAGGAAATCATCAACGCCTCAAAGTTGATCAGCACGCCAGTTATAACCTGCCCCCTGCAAAACAACAGACAAATTGAGGTGGCACATCTTGTGAGAGCAAGAATTGAGAAGACATATATCGAGGATATTATTCGATACGTTGATGACGAATGGGGGCCACACAGGGCATTCATTACCCTTCATATTAACACTGAGGCCCTAGAAGGAATGCATCTTGGTATTGGCCTTGGGGACATTAAACACGCCATTTCCAAACAAAAGAAGCTGAAGATCCTGGATTCAGATATTGAAGTATTCGAACAAGATGCAACTATTGAAGTAACCGTGAGACCTCCAGATGCGGATTCATTAGCCAAACGAGCACCCAAAAGTAAAGCGGCGATCGCAGAGGCGGCAGCTGACTTGCTCGTTCGAGTGAGTCACCTCAAGCGTGTATTGCCGTCAGTTTCAATCTCCGGATATCCAGATGCTACCCGCGCAATCATCCAGACCGAAGAAGATAAGAAAGACAACAAAATCAACTATTATACCGTACTAGTCGAGGGTTATGGTCTCCGACAGTGCATAAATACTGAAGGTGTTATCGGTACCAAGGTTCGTACAAACAGCATTCTTGAATGTCGGGACGTCCTTGGCATCGAAGCGGCACGAAGTACCATCGCCGCAGAAATCACGAGTGTCATGGGCGATATGGATATCGATCCGCGACATATGGAGCTGTTAGCCGACGTCATGACGTATAAGGGTGAAATTCTTGGTATTACTCGGTTCGGTCTATCTAAGATGAGAGACAGCGTATTGCAACTAGCATCATTTGAGAAGACGGCAGACCACCTGTTCGATGCCGCGGCTGGAATGAAGGCAGATCGTATCGAGGGCGTGAGTGAGAAGATCATCATGGGACAGACTATGTCAGTTGGTACAGGCGCGTTCCAAATGGTACGGTACTTGGGCCACAGAGATGAGCATTTCAAACAGCTACCAACTGCCTTCGAAGATGCTTGGGCGGAGGAGCAAGATCTGTATCGCAAAGTTAAGAAGCGGACTAAGATATAAATATCAGGTTTGAAGGGAAGTTCTTAGGCTCTGCGTCGATTCGGATGTTGACATTGTTAATTCAAAATCAGTTTGAGGGCAACTTGTAAAGTATTTATGAGACTACCTAAGCTATGGTCAAAGTAATGAATACATAATGCCTATAATGTATAGTTAGGCATTTGCTTACCTAGAGGTAGTCTTTAATATGGAGTCGGCAAAAAATGATCCAAGATAGAGTACTGTTATCGTGAAATAACATTCGTACGCCAAAGAATCCGTGTCTACCTACCTTAGTACTGGGTAAGGATTATTCAGTCACTTAGGGGTAAAATCGAGGCTTCGAGACATTACTACTACAAATGCCGTCCCGCTAGGTTATGGATGACTATGGTCAAAGCTCTTGCCTAATACTGATGCTTGTAACTAGTATTTATAGAATATAGAGTTATAGGTGCTGCTATTTAGGATATCTAACTGAGTAACTCTTAGGAGGCTAAGCATCAATACTATAGACAACTTTCCCAATTCTTCCCTTAGGGCAATATGGTGCTCGTTCTTGCGATTTGTGTGAGACATCCCCCTCACACTAGTTGGAAGGGATAGCTCGAACGATGGAGTTCAGCCTTCCTCCCATATCTTCCAGTTAAGAGTTGTGTTTAACTCGGTGGTCGCTAACGGGGGGTGTTGGAGCTGGAGCGATATCCTGTGACCCTATATGAGTACTTAAGGTATACTCGGGTTGCCTACAAACTAGGAATCAAGAACTTGGTATATAGGTACCTAAGGTATCCATCTTATCAAAGATAAGAAAGCTCATAGTTCTCGGCTCTTACTCCCTCCCCTATTTAGGCTAAGTACCTAAGGTTTAGTATAGGCGCGGCAACAACAGGTGGTCAAGCTGTTGTAGTAGTTGGGCAGGGCCTCTGTCGTTACCTTGCTCTTAGTTATCCCAACCCTAAGTTGGTTGTATCCTTCTTATTGAGTTGAAGTGTGCTGGAGTCCATGATTAATTCCATTCCACCCATGGTTAAGTAGTAGGTAACTGAGTCGTTTGATCCTCAGTCCTTGATGTACGGCCTTGGCAGCTCTTATTCTAGTTTCATCTCTCGTCGGCGGGTCGACTCCTTCAGCGCTCTACTGACACTTTGCAAGAGCTCCATCGGATAGTCTGGGGCAGCTAAGCCTTCTTATCGCTCACTCTTAGATCCATTGATCATCTCTTGTCCCCATGGAACCCCGGCGCTATAGTAGTTACCGATTCGATGGTCATCGTCGTGTTGTCTTTGGTAAAGGACAAATTCGCGCAACCTATATCCAATTTCTCCCCTTTTCCAATCTTCTCTTGTTAATATTTTGAAATTGTTGTCGGCGCTTTATATATATGTCGTAAAATTTCTCTAAACGAAATGCTGTAGTGTTGTATCGCAGCTTGTTGTAGTTGGCTCCGGGTTCTTTCTTTCAGCCATCAAATATCCTCTTTTAAAATGGCAAGCCCCTTTTCAATTTTCTCAGGTCTCTTTAGAATGCTTCTATAGTTCATAGCCCTTCATTCTTCTTCCCATCGTCGTCGGTGGCTCCTATTATCTACTCTTTCTCAGCCAGTCCGATCATCGACCCCCCTCCCACGGAGTCCGAAATGGTGGCATGAAGCTCCGGCTTGTGATACGTGCGTCCTCGGAGCATTCGTATAGTCGAATCAGTATAGTAGTGTGCAACGGAAGGGTCCAAATCTACCGGGTCTCCTCGTACATATATATTCGTGAGAACGCTCGTTTGACTCGAGATAACCACACCTCTCCGTCATATGATAACTCATAAGTTAGTCGAACGAGAACGCGCGGCTATGCCGCTTGCTGCAGCATTATTTGGATGTTTTACACTGCAGACAGTAGAAATACGGAGCACATATACTCACCGCAAGTGTCTCGGTGCCGATAGGGGGCAGGCATTCAAGGCCCTGCCGTCTCTCGAACAGGGCAGGATTTTCCCCTACTACTTACGCCCACTTGCTTTCACGAGCCGTCATATTGCAGAAAGCCTGCATACAAGAAGGGTCATACGTAAACAGTGAGTACGCGTTCTGTGTTGGAAAATTGTGTTTGTCTTTAGATCTATAGAACATCTCGTATAGACGAACCCACCAGCCCCGATGAGGTATCTTACTTGACCCAAACAAGCTGCTCCTTTTACAATCCCAGTAATAACCCATCATAAACATGGCTGCATGTGTATTCTGGTCTAATTCAAGCTACGTGGATGTCTTATAATGTGCATGGCTGCGTACGACGTATTCTATTGTTTCAGGCTGCCACCCGTATGCTTTACAGACTGCTACTGGTCAATAGCAAAGAGCGACTATATTTGCCTAGGTTAGTCTTTGTAGCAGGTTTAGAAACGCGGGGTTCTGTTCGTCTTCTTATTTAATAGAGGACATGCCCCTTAAATTCTGATTCTAAAGAAACTTTCATTTCTCTCCAAGTAACTATCATACTGAGAAATGCTATAGTAAACCGGACATCACAACTGTGTTTACGCTGCTAAGCAATAATCATTTTTAATTAATAATTAATGTAGATATGAAATATTGGCCAGTCAAATAAGATAATTGGAATTCCACAAATAACTGCAGCATCTCTATACTTCTATCTATCGCTGCTCGTTAGTAACGCCAGCAAACGTCAGCATGCCCCTATTTACCACTGACCTTTGCTGACTCAGAACCATATATCGGGCATATAAAATGCGATTCCCGCCTGCATTAATAGTGCTTAGGTGAAGTAATCCAGTTCACTTCCTGTCGGTTCCTGTATATGTGATAGAGTCAGAATTAAAGTGACAGGTAAGAAGCACGCAACCTCCATATCATTACGTACGCTTATTATGCAGTTATTTCTTACCATTGCCCGAAATATGTGATAAGCGATGTAAGGGGAGGGGGAAACGTCCCGACTGGGTGAAAAAGGCGCCATATTACTCGATCTCTGTCCCAAGTGCCGGCGCCATTGAATCATAGATCGGTAAATCGGCATCAGCCGTCGACGAACGGACATAATGAGCACCGATGCCTATGTTTTCATCGCCGATTTACGTAAGTCATTAATCGTATAGAGAGTTTTCATGTTAATTAAGGGCTGATTAGGTGCTATAGTACATGATCTCCATGTTACAATTCACTAAGTAATCTTTAAATCATCGAATAGAATAGGTAAGTAAATATACCTTTATACCTTATTGAAGTTAAGTAAGTCAAGTACCTAATATATGTAACTAGGTCTATGTATATTAACAACATCGAAAGAACCCATATCCAAACGGAGAAGTCTAATAGTATTCGGTGAATGCTACCTCCGTCATGCCCGATGATGCCGAATCGTACTGATATTACTTTATGAAGAAAGTAATAATCCAAACAACTCACCAATACCCATAAGGCTAGGCATTATTACAGACGCATAGGGAAGCACAATATCTTCCCCATACATTATTATCCCTGTGATCAAATCGGCCGGCAATAGAATGGCTAAAGTCTAAGCCAAGCGGAGTTTATTGGTAGTTTTCCCGCGAATTGTCCAGTTCCAATAATGAAGTCCCAGCTCTAAGTTGGGGGTCCGTGGTGGGTCATCCGCTCGAGTCCGGGACACGGGAGGAGACATAGCTGCCCGAGAACTGCGTCAAAACCGAGCCCCTGCTTACGCGTCAAAGAATAAAAGAGGGTTGCGTCCTAAGAGATAAAGATGCTGCGCTGAGGCCGGCATATTCTGAAGCGACATTCACACATTATCCCGAAGGATCTCCTTTTCGCAGAGAGATAGAAGCAGGATTCCTAACGACCCGAATTCGGTAAATGAGATCTCTGGGCTTCATAATCATGATCTAACTGAGCGGCGACCGGATTGGATGGATCGGAGCAACTAACTTTCAGCCTGGGAGGCCGTCTTACATTGCTGGATTCTTTCACTTTGCCCGCCTCGCTTGGCCTCAGCTGATTCGAATAAAGTCGAACGAGTCTCCAGGACGAATCGAAAGATCAGACCGGAAATGGAAATATGAAAAAAAAACCACCATGGACATCGTTAATTCCCTTTCAAGGTTTAGTTGCTATTGCTACTGTTGAATATCAACTATGCCAACTCAGAGCATCGTCTAGCCGGTTTACTATGTACAGAAACATCTTCGTCGATTTACTCTAAATCTGAGAATGAGTATGCGGTTGGATTAGATCCGAGTGTGTTACTAGTTACTGGTGTCTTCGATCATGCCCAAGACGCAGACCTAACCTTGGCAGGCTTGCAGGAATAGAATGCCGAGCGACCACATCAGCAACATGGCTGGCCACATTACCTTACAACACATTCGGGTTTTACAACCCGAAGCAGTACTACAAGTCATCAACAATTCAAGCAATAGAAGGGATTATTTTCGTTGAACAGTACTAGTTTGCTCCATTCCTATTTTCTGCCTTGGGCATACACAGCATACCTTGGATGCCATACCTATAGTGGCCACCCACGCATCCAAGCCACTCTTTGTGACCTCTCACAGGGAAGTATGTCATCAGCTTTTACGGGGACAGAAAAAACATCGGAATTGGAGACATAGCCCCGTCGCCTACAGCTTGCTCGGCATATTCCTAGCAAGGATAAAGAGCGAAGGAATTATCTGATCCAGTTACACAGCATCTGTACGAAATGCGGCGCCGACAGCTTAACCGTCATCCCGAAAGGGCGTCGCATCTAGCCCCAATAGGCTGTATTTGTTAGAGAGGAGCGATCGCGGCTGCGCTGCAAAACGGATACGCACTATGTCCCTTACTTATTCACTCTGGTAGTAGGCCTATCGGAAGAGAAGGATCGCGGGAAAAAAAAGGAAGATAATGATTATCATCTAGGGCAATTTAGGCATGGAAGCTTCTGTTGTCTAGATCCTCACAGGTGCCACTACACTCCCTGGAAAAAAAGCACTGTAGTGCGACACGTCCAGTCTTAATTCCTGTAAGACCTCTCAGCTTCTGCGCTGTA